ATTTCGACTGACTAATCTGGTCATTTGCAGAGCCACAAAATATGTTTCGGGCGGGAATCAAGCTAAGCCCAGCTTGGGCAAATGAAACGCTTTCTTCGTCAAGGGCCACAACGGCAGTGTGGACGGCGGCAACGATAGATAAAAAAGAAGAAAACGCTAAACGAGCACGAAAAACGAAATTCGAATGCGGAAGCAACGCCCACATCCAGATTATGATATCAATTTGGGCAATGAGCAATGTTCGGATTTGTTGTCCGTTTTGTAGGATCAAATTGAGCGGCAGCTGATGGCGACATTCCCGTCCTCGTCCACTGTCACGGCTTTACTTTGGATTTGTTGTTTTTGCGGATTTTGTTGCGACACATCACCTTTCAAAATGCGAAGCAAATGTCAAGCATAAGCTGCCTCCTACACTTCGAACAGACAGCTACGAGTCCTTGTCTGCCAACTTAAGCATAAATGATATTTGCGTCGCACTAGAAAAAATCTGGTAATTTAAAGGAGTTTGAAATAAAGTAAAAAGAAATTTAAAATTTAAATTACATAATTTTACAAAAAAGCGATAAAGATCACATTTATCTTATCTTTCAATTCTATTTGATTAATTAAAAGCTAATATTTCGGAACTATAAGAACTGAACAAGCCTTGTTTTGTTAAAGTTAGTACTTATTTATAACTTTATTATTATTTGTTTTTTTTTTGTGTTCACAAAAAAACCTTTTTATATGCAATACTATAATTTATTAATAAATGTCAAATGTCTATTTTATTTTGTGAATTTATAAATAAGGATCAATAAGTCTGAACTTTTTCGTTTTTACTTTTATCTGCTATATTATATAGCTACGCCTGTATGATCCAATGCGCGTAATCATAATATTTGCAAAAGACAACGAATATACTGTAACCAAATGACGCAAAATCCTTACTTGGCAAAATGCTTTGCTTTCGAAAAGCTCTCAGTGTTAATCCCCAGCACATAGATTTGTCCGCTCATCATATCCTTCACTCCAGCCATTACCATTCCGCATCATGCCACTGTATAAACAAAGTGAAGACAAACAGACAAATACACATTCGCCATGGGTTAAAGGAGCCAGGAATATGGCATACTGGAGTTGCAATTTCTCCTGCCAGCTTCATTTTGCTGGTGCCATAAAGTTATTCAAGCGTGCGGTCGCATTCGTTTCTTGCCGAAGGCCGCCAACTGCAAATGGAATTGTTTTCTCATGCGCCAACATTTGTGTCAGAAATGCCTTAATTTATAGAAAATGTAAGTCCTGCTGCAAGTAAGTGAGTGTGTGAGTGTGTGTGTGAATGTGTGGGTGAGTATGGGTGTATGGCTCCCTGAGCTCCCCAGTAGACTCGCTTCGGGTGTCACTCGCGCTTCATCGTTCGGCGAGGCTTTCGTTTGTCTTTCACTTCACACACATACAGTCACACACATCGCAGGCAGTCAAATACGATTTGGTGTCATGTCTATCTTTCTGGATTCCCCAATGTCTGTCATTTGGCCCGGATAAAAAGTGAAGCGCAGCTGCATGATAATCCTGAAATAACCAAACCCACCCGCACTATACTCCAGCCCTCCATTTCCATTAGCCCCAGTCCCCAGTCATCCTTGCCTAGGAATGATTGAAAGATTTCGCCCATGATGACATTGTTATCCATAGAAATATGCTCGCAGGGCACATGGCAGACTGATAACAACAACAACAACAACAAAATCAACAGCAACTTTGAGGAGCACTTTACTTTATACATGTTTCCACTAGACAACGTAATTGATATTTAACAATTGTCTCCGGGCGAAGAACAACTCCGGCAACTGGCTGCCATCTGAAAATTGTCCGTACCCAGTTCCCCAGCTCCAGCACCCCGCTTATGTCAAATTGTGCGGAAACTCTATTTTTCACTGTCATCCAAATGTTTGCCCGGATTCACTTCTGCGCTTATGTTTTCCACTGAACAACTCATTGGATTTTGTTTCCGGTGCTTCTAAGCATTGATGCGCATTGCTTTTGGCAGAAAACATGCTATAAATAAATGCTCAAACAAATAGAAGGTCAATTACACTGTGAAATAAAAATTAAAATCGTATTGAACAACAATTTCTGTTCTGTGTCGTTGAAAGTTTCTTAGTCGGTGGGCATTTTCCGTTAATTACTTTAAGCTTCAACTAATATTTGAAAGTTTATCTTAAAATTTATGAAATTGCTTGAAATTTAAATATCGATCAATATAGTATAAATTTGGTTTATTAAAAGTCTCCAAAACAATAAAATAATCCGATTGAAATCGATATTAAGAGCATTGCACCACCAATTCGAAATCAATTTGCTTTCATTCAAGATTGTTTAAGAGAATGGCTAATAGAGCTGTAAGTAGCATGCTTATAAAGATCGCTGATATTGAGATACCACTATGAATAGATTGATATTATATAAATTACTTATTGTATAAATATAAGTAATTTTAATAAATTAAATAGGTTTCACCAAAGTTAATCACAGTCAAATGAAAATCGGTTCAATAAACAATCGAAAAGTATATATCGCTCTCTCTTATCTCGTAGGCATAATTATTTCGCTGCCAAAACACAAGGTTTTTAAATTCGGTGCCAGAATTACATGAATTAATCAAAAAGGAACATAAATCCTGCCAACGAATAGACACGAAAGGTTTCATTTCTTTAAGCGTTGGCGGCAATAATTTTTCAAATACCTTTAGAGCAGCAAATTGGTTCGGTAACAAATTGCAATCTTCTCCACCTCGGCTACCTGTCCTGGGCGTCTATTCTTCGCTTTTATGCCCACAGCGGAGTCTGGGAGTCCGACCTCCAAAAGGGCGCGCACCTGGCGAAGATCAAAGCAAAATGTGTAACAAAATTGCCAATTACATATAAAACACGCAAAACTGTCTGTCCCGACTGTCGGCTGCTGGCAGTTGGCTGTTGGCTGCTGGCTGCTGGGTGTCCTATAATGGACCGCGGCGCACTGCAGGTGGAGGCTGAAACAAAAGCTAGCTCCTTCGCTACTTCACAGTCCTTACCACTGCCAATTCAATTCGGTTGTGAATTCAATTTTGAAGTTGGCAACGCTGCGGCGGCGAACGCGACGAAGGCGTTGGCAACATTTGTAACCGAAAATGAGGCATTCGCAGCCATTTGGCAAAAGTTGCTCCCACTCGAAAATATCGAGGTATGTACATATTACATACAAATACATATATCCATATATATATATATATATATATATATATATATATATATATATATATATATGTATGTATATAGGTACATTCAAGCGCACATGTATGAGTATGTATTGTGTGTTTGAAGGCGTAAAGCGAATTTTCACTAAATTCCTTATGCGGTTCTGTCTCCGTCTCCCTCTATCAGCCAGCAGCTCTTTGGCCATCCGCTTCATCGTCTTCCTTCCTCCTCGTGTGTGCGTTTTATTGAAGTTGAAATTGAATTAGTGCGACGGCAAAAACGGAAGCGGTTGCTAAGCGGGAAATTGCCTGAAATCAGGCGCATGTAAGCCAGCTTCGTACCGCACCGCACTCCAGAGTCCAGACCCACCACCCACAGTCTTTGCGACGTGTGTCTTGCACATAAAGGTTCATATCGTTTATACTTTCATAAAAAAAAGAACACGACTGAAATTTGCAAGTATGCTCCGGGTCTTGCCATGCATTTGGCTCCGATAGTAGGAGGGGTGGAGGGTCAAGGGTCATGACCAGCAGCCGTCGAGTAAATTGTTGCGATTTTCAGCTAACTGCCATAGTTCTGCCATTAAAACTAATTAAAAGTTGTTTTAATTATGCGAATTGTTGCAACTTTTCTGACAAATTCAACAACAACAAAAAATTGAGTTGGGTATTTTCTGAAATCCGTCTATTTTTTACTGAGGGATAGCTCTTCAGCTACAGTTTTAAAACTAAATGGCATGTAGTTGTTTCCAAAAATAGTTAACATGCAAGTACAGAATATTCTTCCTTGTATTTTACTAAACACATATGTTTTCCAATTCATTTTTGAAATTATTAATAAAGAACAATATTTTATAAATTTGTCTTGAAAAAGTTCCAAACTATTATTTTACAATATCAGGATGAAACATGAGAATATATTAAAATCCACAAGTTTTGGACTTAAAATAATAATTTAAAAAATATTAGTGTGATAAAAGAAGCATTAAAAGAAAATTTATATTCAAAATAGTTTAGTAATGTCTGTTATTTTGTTTTGACTGCTGAACTTAATTGTTAGAATGCTGGTTTCTTTTTTCCGCGTTGCCGCCCTTTCTCGCACAACATTGCAGTTCCTTTAAGTGACTAACAATGAAGTGCGAAGGCACGACTTAGCACACTACCCGTACTCCAGCGGAGGCCCAGCATTTTCCCGGGCCTGTGCTCATGCCCGTGACCGTGTCCGTGCTGGTGTTTTCAGGTTTCAAAGCTAAGCGCAGCTAAATAAATGCAAGAGTGCAGCATGGCTAAGGAAACATGTGCAAGTAATACGCAAACGAAGCGTAAATGAATTTTTCATTCTGCCATTAAAATGTAAGTGCGCATTTTCCGGCACAGCACACGAACAGCCTCCGACTGCCGAGCAACGCGCTCTGACTTCCACCCAGCCATTAAGTCGGAGGAAGTTGCTGCGTCTACTGAAATGCAAACGGGTGGCTACGAGCAGAGCTCTTGAACGATGTGGGACTGACGTGCGGTCGAAGGTGAATGGAAGAGGGATCTAAAGAGGCAAATAGGTTCCAGACTTAGCAGTTGTTGTTAAAATACACGTACTATTTTAAGGGACTTTTGTAGTTTAAGCACAACAACAATTGGTATTCTATAATATATTGTCATATGTATAAATAATTCTTTGGTCTGCATTTAATCTCTTTATTGAGCTATCCGCATAGTTGTGTGATCCTCTTCTTATACTACATTTTTATCGACGAAACATATATCTCACCCTCTGTCTTTTCTTTTACAGACTACATGCAGTCGTTGTGCAAGAATCACTTTTTGCAACAACTCTATCGCAAAATCGATGGCGCCGTGCTGTGGTCACAAAACGAACGCAATCTCGACTGCATCATCACCTTTCAGACGCATTCGATCCTGCAACGTTTTATGCTGCGCTTCGACATGCTGCAATTGGACTGCAACGATCATCTGCTTGTCTACGATGGTGCGCATGCCGTTTCAACACCAAAGGTAAGACAATCCAATTAGTTATTGGACCTACTCCCCAATTTACTCGTATTGTCTTCACGTCGCGCACACATCCAACAGATCCTACACACGTCATCTGATAAATAATTACATGCACTGTTTGCCTTTTAATTTGTATGACAGCTGAAACCTACTCCCATTTACTTTACGTCCACGCTTTAAATATGCAATTACAGTTTCTCGCTGGAAATTGTCATCAGTTGCTGTTGAATTTTAATTGCATACTTTTGGGAGCTCGTCCTCACAATATTCCTCGTGAATTAAAAGCTCATTCATACGTGTATTTGTTAACAAAGCACACTTCAAATGGTTATCATAAAGATACCTTTGGGAGGTGGAACGCCCTCTCAAGTTTCCTTTAGTGTGGCACAACGTATGCGGATTACTTATATAAATTGTTAATTTGCATATGCAAATGAGTAAGTTACCTGCTGAAATGAGCTGGCGCCTGAGATTGTGTGCGTGTGTAAGCTCATAAGTAGCGTCTGAGCTCGGTAACACATACTTAGTGCCCTTGAATTAAGTTTTCCGTTCATTCCGTAATGAAAATATTGGCAGTTATTTGATCGTACATGAAAATAAATGAGATTTCCAATTAGATTCTTGACCATGTATTACTTTTTATAGCTTTAATAGTCTTTCCAAATTACTCCAGTTTTCTTCACAAGAAATGTGTAACTCTCGCCTCATTCCCTGCTCTTGTCGTGCAATCTTGCCAGTTCCACAGAATCCTGACATTTCATAACGCTTAATTTTTAGAATTTTGGCAACGAAAGTTAAACATTTGCCATCTTTTCTCCATCACCGATGGAATGTATCCAACTAAGCCGCCTCCAGCGGCTGCAGCAGCAAAAGTCCCCTTCGTCCGTTGCAGTGTCCTGAATTCCCGAAGTGGCTGCTACGACGTCAATGTCGGCGTCAGCGTCGGCGTTAACGTTAGCGTCGGCATCGGCATCGCTTTAATGCTGCGGTTAATTTTACACGCATCCCCCACGCATACATACATCCATGGACGAGTAGCCAACTCTGTCCTGCTTGCCTCCAGAAAACCCGTGCCAGACCCGCATGCAGATGTGCAACAGTCGAGCAAGCGTTGCACAGTGGGCGAATAATTTTTAGTTAAGAATCAAATGGTTGTAATCTTTTAAGAAATATTGGAAACAATGGTTGCATTAACCAGGCTTTGTTCACAGCTTTTTTAACAATTAGTCTGTATATAACAACTTGATTTTTATATAAGTTAACTTCCTGATCGAGTCCTTTCGATCTCCTAATTCCCCTATTATAATGTTTAATAACATTTAAAAAATAGAAATTATCAGACCCTGATGCATCGATTGTGCGGGTAGATTCTGACTACAATATTTCCATTTATACTTAACGAATGTTAATAAGATTGTGCATGCTATTGTTTACGTTTCTTTCTCACATTGTTCCGCGGTTCGCTTTACCGTTAATTGAATATGAGTGAATTTCTCGGGAAACTTCTTAGTTTTGCAAAATAAACTGCAGATGTAAGAACACACTTAAATTAAAAATTAAATTAAATTAATTTTAGTGTCTGAAATGAGTTTCAGTCATTTGTGGAAAATCCATGTCTTGAAAATCCATGAAGGATATTAAAATTGCGAAACCTAGACATTGAGAACATTTTCATAAAATATAAAGACCATATATTTCAAAAATCATACTAAAATCGTGGGGTCTGAAAGGGATACAATAAAAATGTTGTATGAGAGAAAAACCTTAATTGGAAAAAACCTCGCCCATTTCAATAATCTATTTTTGAATGTATTATACTACATGACTATGACTACTTCTGTACGAAGTTATTAAGCTGCGAACACTGCAGGTGGTAAGTTATAATTAAAAGCCAAGCTGTGTTAATGAAGGACACCCATGAAGTAGTGGATCCGACAATTTTCGACTGTTCGTTATTTCACTCCCGAGGTATAGCACTCACACCCAGTGTGATGGTGGCAACATTGATTCTGCCATCGACGTGGTAGCAGCCACACCATCGTCTGCCCCTGCAGCAAAATGCAAAACGATGATGATGTCTCTTATGGCACGTGCGGTGGCGCCACCGAAAACCCACCGTTACGCCTGTTCTGTAAATTTTAATGTTGTTGGCGTTGTCGTTGGCTGCTGGAAATTGCATTGAGGTTTATCATCGACCCGGTCTGGCGCCTGTCGCACACACTACCCCCTCACTCCCTTCCTCCTCCCTACACAGTGCTCGCGTGGCATCGTCGTAGGCTTTGCTGCGGTTGCCTTTCTTGACACAACGTTCTTCATCATGTGTGTGGCTGTTCATTTCGTGTGTGTGTGTGTGTGGATGTGTGGATGTGTGTATGTGTGTGTGCGTGTTCCTGCATTTTGGCAGGCAAGCAAACAATCTCTACACGCCGCCCTACATCTTCGTCGTGCCACGCTTTGTGGCATATTTTAATTTGGTTGCAACTCAAAAGCACAAACATTTTACTCCTTTTTTGCCATTTTTGGAAGACCTCCTATGCCCTCCCACCCCCGTTTCTTTGTGTCAACGTTGCTGCGTGACTGACAAAAATTTTAATTTTGCATTTTTGCGGCCTCACACAGCACGCCAACACCCGAAAACCAACCGACAAGCTTTAGCACCACCCCACCCAACCCAAGTCCCAACGAGGCCACAGGCAAATGCAGTGACAACTTCTTTTGTCAAAATATTCACAAAATTTTATTAGTTTTTTGGTCTTCATTTTGTGTTTTGCATTCTCATCTCAACACTCACTCACTCACTTACTCATCCACTCATCCGCCTCTTCCACTCAAAGCCTGTATAAAGCTGAATCCAAACATCAGATTCATAAATTCTAAACTACTGGCCGCATTTGCACTCATGCATGCATCTATGTATATAGTATATATGTATTGATGTTGTATATACTTGTATATACATAGATGCAGGAAGGGATTCAAATTTGCAGTTCCTACACTAAAGTACAGCAAAGTTATCAAAGCAACTTAATGGGTTAGGTTTCGGGTGGTTGTAACGACTAGGAAAACATAACAATCTGCAAAACTTTTGTGCAGGTGCAGGGACGCAGCAAAAAGGGAAGTCAAAGTCTGTGGTTGCTGAAAAGCAAACTACTCTGAAAATACGTAGCTAAGTAAAGGCTCTTAAAATGTTTTTCGTTCTAAGCATTTAGAGGTGTGGAGATTTACGTGAGAAACCAGCGAGCAACAGGTAATAACGAAAAGAGGAAAAGGGAGGGCCACAGAGACGGGCTGAAAGCTATGCAAGTCAAGTAGGAAAAAAACCTTCCCAAAGTTGACTACATATTTAAGTTTGAAACCATGTATGTATCCGCATGCTGCAATTCTCCAAACTAAAAGCCAGCTACTTAATATTCCATCGGTTGATATTACAGGCTTTTAATTTACCAGTGGCTTTATCGAATGCAGCTGAATGAAATACTTAAAAGAAATATTTATACATAAGTATACGAGGAATGCACTTAAAAGGTTTACCCATATAAAAAACCATTTTGTGTTACATAAATCTCTATTATCGTACTGAAAACATACTACTAAATGGACTCAGCTATAACTAAGTTGCATTTATACATATTCTAAGGACGGATCGGCCCAAAATGCCCCAAAAATATAAGAAAATAATCTTCACAAACAAAACTCGATGCTCTCACAAAAAAGTGTACTTAACCAGTTATTATTGTCGAGGCATTTGAGGCGAGTGCCATAAAATAATGCAAATCAGATTTTGCATTTGATTCATTTTTATTCTCGCGCCACATTTGGCGCCTTCTTCGATGACTACGATTTTATCCTTTAGCCAGTTTTTTGTCTATGTGTTGAGCGCTTACTGCCATCGTCTGCTCGTTGGCAGCTCGAAGAAGTCGTGCGTGTAATTGCCTTGTTGTTGTTGAGGTGCCGCATCAGGCAAATCCAGCCCAGCGCGGCTGCCATCATTAGCCTGGAGTCTGGCTGTGACTCGATGTGGCCAATAACTGGCCCATTGGGTATAACGGTGTTGCGCCTGTTGAATCCTTAGCGCTTTTCATTCCTGCCGACAATGTCGTTGATTTGCCTGAGCGGTTTTATGGTACTTTCGCTTTTATGGCATTTACATTTGATTTCTTACTTATTTACGACATTTATTCCCGCTTTGGTAGCGACGACCAACAAAACTGAAAGGGACATGCAATTTATTACTGCGACTACGGCCCGAGTACTGTACATCAATGTGAAGCATGTCGTCCGACTTAATGGTTTACACTGTCCTTGGTCTCGGCTCCTCCTGACAAGTTTTCATAATTAGATGCTTAAAATTGTTGACTCTGTGGCCATCGATATTGACATTAAGTTTAACTCGTCGCAAATTTGATGTGAAAGGCTCATTATTTGTTGATGTGATGTCGTGAACGAAAAGTATAGCATACTTGAGGGCGTCTATAATGAATGCACTGACGCGACCCACATAGCTGAGCTCATGACTCACACATCACGTGGTGAGTGGTTTGTTTTTATTTGCTCAGTTGTTTTTTTTACCGACACTCTATACATTATTTTCAAAGTGCTGTCAAACAAGTATTAAACATGGCTGGAATTTAATGTGAACATATTAAAAAATCAATTAAATATCTGGTGTGACATTCGACATCCAAGTCTTTGATAATAATGTGCGTTACTTATGAGCAATCGAAATAGCTATGGCTTTTTATTGGATTGTTGATGCATGCTTCTCAATAACATCTTAAGCTCGGTCAGCCTCCAACATCAAAGTTGTTATTACGTCTGAAAGCGTGACCTCGTTTTACACTTTGTTTTTCAAATGTATGAAAATCTCCTTGTCCAGCCAGTCAATTCGGCAACTGATTCAAAACAATATTCAAAATGATGCAAGGCGACAAGATGCTTGGCGACTGAAACACTTTACGTTTGTGCAGAGACGCGTATACATTTTCAAGGTTTTCCCTGGAGAGAAAGTGCCAACTGAGTGGGAAGTCGAGAGTCGAGGGGGTGGCGGTTATCTTTGTTTCTGGCTGTTGAGGGGGTGCTGTTGTTCTCGTGTTGCCCTGGTTGGGGCTTTTTGTTGGCAAAGCTGCATTTTTGTAATTTTCTAGTTGCGTTTGTGCAGCTTCCTTTGGCTTGTCTAACAAATAAAAGATTTAGGTTATGCGCTGCATTTGTGGCCACTTTCCTTGGCTCACATTGCACACGCTCACACATATGTGTTTGCTTCTGGCGCTGCTGCGCATTAAATAATAATGCAGTCAGCCGGCAGTTGGCAGTCGGCAGTCGGCAGTCGGGCGACCAGCCAGTCAGCCAGGCGGGCGCATGAGAAATGAAAATTGTTGCTGATAAAATCTCGGCGCTATCATTAAAGGCAGCTCAGCAGCCGGCAGTTGCCAGTTGTTGCCGCATTGCAACCGCAGTGTTGCAGAGAGGCCGTCGAACCGGGCGAACAAACGACCGACATCCTTGCCTGTCATCATTGAAATGTCGCAACGACAAAATTATGCCTCTGCATGCATACATACATACATATGTATATGTACATATATAGAGGCATATAGTATAGCATTTGTAGCTTTTTGCCGACACAACAGAACCCCCTCCGGGATTGAACCTAAAATGTCAGAGACATCAACATGATCTGGATCAGCGCTGGCTGAGCTCCACATACAAGTATAGGTCCCACTCTGCCGTCATCGCGGGTAACAAATTGCAGGAAAACATTTGACAATCCCCCTCCCATCCTCTATTTCCCCTCACTAGGAAAATTATTAAATATTTATGTTGGCTTAGTGTTTTCAATTGAAGCATATACATAGATCTAAATGCGATTGGGCTTTTTATGTATGCATTTGTGCATCTATTTCAGATCGACATCTCCTGCCGCAACACAAAGAACACCGTTAATGCGATTCTGACGCGAACAAACTTCGTGACGCTGAAATACGTGACCGATGGCTGGGGCACAGATGCAAACGGTTTCAAATTGGTGATAACATCGGTAAAGGATCCCAGTAAGTACATCATATATGAAACATCACCCACCACTGAGCTATCATTATCAACTTTATGTGATTTCGCAGAGCACACCTGTAAAGATTTTACCTGCGCCACACGTGAGTTCTGCATACACCCCGATTTGCTGTGCGATGGCGTCAACCATTGCGGTGACAACTCGGACGAATCAGTGCAGAACCTTTGCCAAAGTAAGTCCAGGCACACAGCCATTAAGACACGGTCATAACAGTCCGTGTTTATGGCCTGCTGTAGCATAAAACATCAAAACATCCCTCCTCTCTTTTTGGCCAGGCGAGACGACCAGCACCGTCTTTGGCGTCGACATGACGTGGTTCGTCCTGATTGTGGTGGGCGTGTTGCTCGTGCTCAGTGCGCTCATTGTCGCCGTGGCCATTTGCTTTTGCCGTCGCCAGGACGAAAGCGCTGCCAATCAAAACACCGCCATCCAACGTAAGTAACTGGATGAGTAACTACTCGCTTCCGCTTCGAAAAATGCATTGCCAATATCGTGCTCTCTATATTGTTGCAGTGCATCACAATGCTGAAACGAATGGATCGTCGAAACATCTACACTATCATGGTGTGGGCATCGGCGTTGGCGGAACGCTGACGCGGGAGCATACACAACTGCCGCCTGCTTCGGGAAACTGGCATCACCCTGCGGGACCATACGGGTACCACCGCATTCCACACAACTACTTGAAGATGGCCACCAAAGTCCGTCCCATTTGGTGCTTGGCAAATTCCGTCAATTAGGTCAAGATCTTTCACAAAACTCCGCCGGCCTTAGCCAGACGAACATCGCTGTTGGCGGTCATCCGAACGCCGGCGCCGCTGCTGGTGCTGCCCAAAAGGACGAATGGTTCGTCTAAGAGCAGCATCATCATCCCAGCGAAGTCTCCTCCAGCTTAGCAACGCAGCACGATCCCCACCACGTCGCTAGCGCTTCTCACCTTTCGGCTTCGTCACTGGCATGCGCACCAGCAATGTGAAAGAATTAAACAAACCAATTGACTTAAGCACAATAATTTGTACTTTATAAAGTTACATTATGGATATTTGCAGAGCATTAAATGAAGTAAGTACGTTACAGTCGAAGGAAGTGTATATCCCTAAAGCTAATCACAATTTATCGGAAGGACTAGCAAGACTTGCAGTTATGTCTAGTCATCTGTCCGTCCGAACTTTATGTGAATACCTGTTTAAAACTTTTGATGACATTGAAAAGATAGCAATAGATATATGACAAAAGGAGCGAGCAATATTAATAATCTGATGAACCCATAACAATTTCTAATTCTTCTGAGAAAACAAATATTTGTTGTAGATTTAATTGCTGTTTTGATTGTCCATTAGATACACATAATAGCGCTAGAAGAAAAGTTTTATAACCATTTTAATAAATCAATGCTCTTCACTATTTTATTTCCTTTTTCAGGACTGTATGACTATATTTACCAACAATTAACGTGGACATCACCACGCAGGGTGTATAATTAAGAGATCAACTCGTACCCAGGAAGAATCTCGACAGCGTTGGGCAAAATTTGTCGTTAATCGCATTATTTTGTCGGATAACCAACGCAATTGTAAATACTTTATAAATACATATTAAATATAAATATATATACTATACTTTCAATTTAACAAAGTAACTTCTATAAAATGAAATTACAAAACTAACACACAAACCGCAAACTGAAGTAATCGTGTATTAACTAAAAGGAAAATAACAGAAAATATTTTAAGTCGAACTCAAGACAAATAGTATCTTACAGTAAAAAACTCGTTTTTAGTCCATTTAAAATAATTTATTAATTTACTTAATTCAAAGGCAATTAGATTTGTTTTCAGCTTACGAATTAAAAAGGATCTTCGATGGCGAATTAACATGACAAAAAATAAAAACGCATTTACTACATAAATACATGAATAATTTTTTAGCTTAAAACTCCCAACATAGTTAAAATATATTTAGTTAATATGAAAACTTTATTTACGAATAACAAAAACTGTTTGGCATGCTCGCTGTTTGACAAAATTTTTTAAAACATAAAAAAGTATACACAACAATGAAAACATAATTGTCGGACAACAATATTGAATACTTTTAAATAAACAATCGTAAGCATTTAAATACAATTTTCAAAAAAAAAAAACCATAAGAAATATTTAAGCTCAACAACATGGAAACGATAACTGTCATTATTTTATAGAACTTCCAAATGTGAACAACAACCAAAAGCAAAATATATGTATGTTCATATAACGAACATTTGTCAGGTATTTAAAAACAAACAATGCCGAATTCTAAAAATAAAAATGGACACAAGAACAACAACAAAGACAAGGGATGTATATAAGTAGTAGACAATACTGAAAAAAATAACAAAAAACACTAAAGGTAACTTCAAAAACAAAGTCAACTGAACACATACATTCATAATTCATTGTAATTGTCAGCAACTGAACGGAGGAGGAGAAATACGGATCGGAAATGAAGGGCCAAGGGCATTACAAAACTATATATGAGAGCGAGTAGTCCTTTTCTAATCGAATGGACAAAGTGTCCAGATATCCGGGATGACATTTTGCCGACTGACTTCACATTTCACAAACTAAAAACAATACTCGTGTGTACTAAATGGAAAAATTATAAGACATTAAGGACAATACAAAACAAACTTTTTTGCTTTTTGATGAACCAAATTCAATTGATAACTAATACATTTTAAAGTACTTACTCGTAGAGTGAATGAGTCCCAGAAGTTTTCTACAACAACCAACAAGCAAACTAAAACACACTGTCAAATTCAAAATCAAGTGTGAGTGGTTTGATCTCTTTGGAAATGCGGATAAACATTTTGCTGCAAAAACGACCTACATATAAGAGTTTTATACTCGTATAATACACAATAATATGCCTAAATGAAATATTTCAAATAAAATAAAAAATGCTTCAAGATAATTGTAGTACTTCCCGCCGTTAATATTTTTTTAAACAAAACACTAAAATATCAAAAACAGGATATACATTAAAATAATATCAAAAGCCGTTACATACAAATTGTCTTTCAATAGCTATACTATACTTCCATAGGCCAGTTATGAGAAAATTATAGATTTTTTTTATTGAACTATTAGGAAGTGACTAAAGTACAGTGACATTATGCACAAATGGATAAGAAAATATAGAAAAAAATTACGAATGGCATCTAAATAATCAGAAAATATCAAAATATTTGTATATGTATGTGAACGTTCTTTTAAATACAAATCCATATTCTCTTATGTTGTACAGCCCACGAGCAAAGCATAATATGGCTCCAATCGCTTTAATAAAATATGCTTCAAATATTCTTTTTATATAGGGGCAATACATATTTTCCTGTACATATGTACGTATCGTGTTGTACATTTATTTGAAATTAATGTAGTACTATTTGGAAAAATGTATGTTCATAAGATTAAATCCACTGCCACTTTAAGTATTTTCATCTTTTCGCAGGGCCATTTGTGGCAACAATTGGATATAGAAAGTATCGATTATTTCCAGATAGCTAATAATTCTTTGACCAGAACTTATGCCCCGTCTTTGATTCCACAAGCCACTAAAACCAAATATTAACTTAGCCTTAAAATTTTATGTAGATTCCAAGCCGAGTGATTATATATTTTGTTTGAATAGTGTATTCAATGGCAGTATGTAAACAAATAATAAATAAATATATATATATATATATATAGTACTTTATATAGTATATGCATATGTATATTGACATTATAGACAAATATTGTGGATACATGACTTTTAACCAAAATTATAAGGAAATTTAATTAGGCGACAAATTTTAGTAACAATAGCATGAAGGAAATATTTGCATTTGAATTTATGGGCAGAGAAAACAAGAAACAAATGTTTAACGTTAATAAATATAATGAATTAAAATAACAAATTGATTAATATGCAGCAATCAATTAATAAAATACAGGAATATTGAATAATGGAAATGGAAATTTTGCGTTAAGTATTTAAAATTCACAACAAATTATAAGGTGACCACGCCATTTATGAATGTAGCTAAAATATACATACAACAAATACATACAAATACAATTTAATTGAAATAGAAAAAATTAAATACAACTAATGGGAAGAGGCTGACGAGCTGGAGGGCATTTGCGGCAAAACTAAAGCAATGTATAAACATTTTTTTCGGCGTTCAAAGCAGTAAAGGATAGTGTTTGCCTTACAATTAGTAAAAGGAGTCGGAATAGACACTCTTTCTTGTATCTTCAAGTAGTTGACGAGCCGGAAAAGTGTCCGTAGCCCGTGGAGTGTGAGCCCACATTTTTCGAGTGTATGTATCTACAAGTATTCGTTTTCAATGTTAAATAGTGTTATAACTTTCTACCCCTCTCTCTCTCGACAAGACTTTTCCACAATTAGTCCAAGAAATAGTCCTATAAGCAAGACAATTGAATGCATTATTTTATATTTTCTATTTAATTTTTTTCTGTGGATATAGCACATGTATGTAAATTGAATTATTCAAAAAACACCCATAGGACAGTATTCTTATGCACCACAAAAGCCCCATGAATGTACCAACGGGTTTTATTTATCAAAAAGTTTAAGGACTAAAGTACTGCAGACCCAATCGGCAGGTACGACTACAAATATTTATGTAAATCTGTGTACCACTAATAGAAAAGCATACATACCTATATTAAAAACTATGCATAAATACATACATATAGTGCATCAATATATGTAGGTGAGGCATATTAAAGATATGGCTATAGATATGGATATGGATATGAATATGAATATGTGTCATCTACCTACGATTCATGGCATTATGTAGCGCAAATGTTAGACAAAATGTAGCCCTAAGCATGTGTAATTAAGGCCCCGATATTTTGTATGCAGATGTTGCGAATTATAATGGAAATTATAATGAATTGTATCGAATAAAATGAAACTAAAGCTATCTTACCGAATGAATGAATTGAAGGAGCAGCTTTGCTCGTACTCTAACTTCCAAGGAGAATACAGGCGTACGAGTACAGAATAGAGAGAAAGGTTGAGGGATTGATTAGGAGTCTATGCTTTAGAGGCCTGCCCTATAATGAAATATCAATGAGACAATGTTTATAATATTTAGTTATGATGCAGATATGATGGTCAGTAATTTGTTCAGTGTATGTACTTGTGTAACTTGAGACAAACTACTTATGAATAAAAATCAATTTGTGGTGTCATTTTTTATAAACAATTAAAAAATAAAATAAAGACAAAACAAAAATTTGGCAAATTCACAAAGAGAATGCTTAGCTTTTGTGTTTAATTGCTGTTAAATGTAAATGTACCATGATTATGAATATGATGATATTAATACCTACACACAAATAACAAATCCAAGCAGAAATAACAAGATCCGAAGAGAAAAACGAAGCTAAACGATAATTAAATAAAGAATGAAAAAGTTTATTGCTGTTTCTTTTTAATTTAGGCTTTCATTTACATTTAGGCTCCATTGTGAACCCATTTTTACTACATCGTCATCATTTGTTATACATTGATGTGGAATCGGTATTTGGCTATCCAGGAACTTACTTGTAGAATTCAAACAAGATTGGATTTCAATAGAAGGTCAAGTAAGTTTTAAGTTTTGAATATATGAATTAAACTTTATGAGCATTTAATCAAGTTAGAGCCGAATGCTTTAAGCAAAATGAACATTATTTTAATAAAAACATTTAACAAAAATATCATTGCATCTGATGTAAATAATATTTTTATTACTTTTTATACAGGATATATTTTCTGTAAATGTATCCTATAAAAAGACATAGACAGATGCCACAGTCGCTTTTAAGTAAGTATAATACTCTTTTTGATTAGTATTTGAAATATCGGATTCCAGATTCGAAATCAGTAAGCTCCAAAAACTAACGATATAGCGGCCACCCGATCCGGGTTGGAAAAAATAAATGAGCAAAGAAAATTATTAGAAAAATATGCCTACGTTTTTATTTGTTTTAATGCATTTTTTAATTTCAATAAGCCATTTGGTGCATGTTAAGATCCGATCTTAAACAGAAATACCCATATTTGAAGAGTTTTGGATCTCCTGTGGTGGCGACACATCTATTTCATCGCTATTTCGCTTTCTGTGTTCGAAGGCCTGCAGGCGATTGAAATATCGCTGAGCCAAGAAATGAACAATTGAAATAGCAAAATAACTCAGCATAATGTAGGCGCAGAATTCAAAAGCCCTGGCCACCACACAAGTTTTTGGTGCTGTATTTCCTTTGCTTTTACGATGCATTTGCTGTTTCGTAGATATAAGCATGTTCTTGAGAGCCATCTGGAAATATATGCCCAAAAGCGGGACCTTTTCCAGCAAATCCAGCAAATGCCCTACCAATTGCTCATTGAATGTAACAATTACAAAAATTTGTTGAATATAGTTTTTGAAGATAGCTTTACCAATAATGATGGCACCAAAAAACTTCCAGAAAGGAACTTGAAAGTGGCCGCAGGCTACACCAGCTAGATCGAAGAATGGATTTGGCACACTTGCACAGGCCAATATCCCAAAGAACCCCAAACGCTGCACCACGCACTCCATTAGCAGTTTAGTTTTTTCGAAAATAGCACAGTTTTCTGTTTTAAGCTCTTCCGACTCGTCACGTTGACATAGTCGTGCTGCTCTGGTCATATAATAAGGTGGAATTTCACCCAGTGAAGTCCCTAGGCCCCATACCAGTGCCTCGAATCGTACCTTATACAATATGCCCCAAATAGTCGGCGTCAATCTCTTATATGGCTCATCTGGACAAATTTTGTTTTCAGGATAGGGAGGTGCTGGAAAGTTTAACGTCTGGCACTCATATGCAGCCAAAGTTACACCTGCTATGTGTGGCCCCAAATAGAGCAAAAATGTGTGCAAGCCGGTGCCAAACCCAATTGCCGACAGTACTCCTAATATCAGCCAGTATGCGATAAATCCCAACTGCAGCTCAACCATCCGAATATATAATTTTTGGGGGCCTGGCAAGATGTGCAATAGTACCAAGATCAGAAGAACTGCTAATAGCCGATGGTCTAGCAGTTTCACAACAAATGCCAAAATCAATTCGTAAGTTTCAAGTATAGAGTACTTTAAAGTTTGAATTGGCCGACGCCACATCACAAGCGACTTTGCTTCCACATGCTTTTTATTCTTAATACTGTTATGCTCCTTATCATTTGGATGAGGAGCTACTGGACATTCTGTAACGATCTCTTCCATTTCATATTTCGGAGTTCAATGTTTTCGTTGAAAGATTGGGTATTAAAAGTCCTAGTCTTATGACACATATTACTGAGGTAAAAATAATATATTTTCAAAATAAAATAAATGTATCAGATGTGCAACGGACTTCTTTGCCTTAGTGCTACACTATTGTAATATACATACATATGTACATATGTACAACTCAAACACCCACAGGTTCATCATATAAATTTTAAAAGACTTTATAAGTGAGATGCAGTTTTACTTGCAGTAAATAATTATTCTATCACTTATTTACTTACATTTAACACAGAGATGTTAGTGTTGCAGTTTTCGCATGGAAAGCGGTAAACATTTTTGCATTAAATTTCAATTTACTTTAAACAAATTTGAATCTTCACAAGCAATCAGGAATTCCCCTATTACGCATCAAATCGTCGTTTTACCGAACATCTGTTGGCTTTTACTGCGCGTTAGGCAGCACTACTTTAAGCAGCTGTTGAGGCAAAATAATGATGTGTACACACTTTTGAGAGCGCCTTGCAGTTTTTAGCGTAATAATTGACTGCATGCGAATGTATGCACATACGTGTAAGAGGCAACTACAAAATACGGATTTTGCGGCAACTCAACAGGTGCAGCGACCATGGGAGAAGTCAAGGACTGGCGTCCGTTTGTTTACGGCGGCGTAGCATCTATTACAGCTGAATTTGGTAACGAACATTTGATAATAAAACAGATGTCGAGTCATCGTTGTTTGTAAATTAATTATGACGACAACAGCTCAGATATTTGCTTATCTGTGACTAGAATATGTGTAAACAATCAGGGTGGTTGCTTTGCAGGAACTTTTCCAATCGATACAACAAAGACACGCCTCCAGATCCAGGGTCAGAAAATCGACCAATCGTTTTCGCAACTGCGGTACCGCGGCATGACAGATGCATTCATGAAGATCTCAAAGGAGGAAGGGCTGCGTGCATTGTACTCTGGGTAAGTTAACCAAAAAAAGTCACGACCAATATTTATAAATTCAGGAAGTAGTAAGAAAGCTAAGAACAGTCGCATAGATAAGTGACTCAATCTATGAAACCAGCATATGTTAATTAAGTGCTTATTTGCGATAAGTAAACCGCTGCCTGTCGCTATGCTTATCTCAAAACGTGCAAATCACGTGTCAACTAGACTATGCGCTTCACAAATTACATTAGGCCCCTAAGGCACTTGAAAACGTTGATAAAGGGGTAAAGTTAAACAATAACGTACCAATATAGTTTTAAATTTAAACTTTTTTTTGCAGTATTTGGCCGGCGGTACTACGTCAGGCAACCTACGGAACAATCAAATTTGGCACATACTATACCCTTAAAAAGCTGGCAAACGAGCGTGGATTATTAACAAATGCGGACGGAAGCGAACGCGTATGGAGCAACATCATGTGCGCAGCTGCAGCTGGCGCCATATCATCTGCCATCGCGAACCCCACAGATGTGCTGAAGGTACGCATGCAAGTGCATGGGAAAGGCACACAGCAGCATGGCCTACTTGGTTGCTTTAATGAAATCTATAAATACGAAGGTGTGCGCGGCTTATGGCGGGGTGTGGGACCCACGGCCCAGCGAGCAGTCGTCATTGCCTCTGTCGAATTACCTGTCTACGATTTTTGCAAGCTGCAGCTAATGAGCGCTTTCGGCGATCATATGGCAAATCATTTTATGTAAGCAAACTTTAACCGTTTAAGTTTAATATGTAGGCTTATTGGTTTTGTGTTACAGCTCGAGTTTCATAGCGAGCTTGGGCAGCGCCATTGCTTCAACACCTATTGACGTAATAAGGGTAAGTGCAGTTGATGTTACAAATGATTTAAACTTGTCAACTATAAGTCTCTCCACTGCCAGACGCGATTGATGAACCAACGACATGTCACTGTACTAAACGGCATGGTTACTACAGCAACAACACAGAGGCTCTATAACGGCAGCCTTGACTGTGCGGTGCAGGTACGTAGCCTTTGCTCCACCAATATATGCAAATGTCAATAAATATGTATCTTCCTATGCAGACAATTCGCAATGAAGGTTTGCTAGCGCTCTACAAAGGCTTTATACCCACTTGGGTGCGCATGGGCCCGTGGAACATAATTTTCTTCATCACGTACGAGCAACTGAAAAAATATTAGTACCACCATGGTTAATAGTTATGCTCAGGCATTGAAAAATAAGTACAAGCTGCAATTAGCATTAGCCTTGGCTAGCATTCAAACCAAAAAAAAAATTAGCTTAGTGTACAAACACACCAGTTTTTTTAAACTGGGCTTCTCATTAAACAATGTGTAGTGGTATATGTACAGTGAATCAATAAAGTCTTGGCACAAGCAGAATTTTTTATGAAAAACGTATTTAATACTTATTATTGATGGGCTTTGAAAATTTTTTGTGATGCAGTTAGTAACATTTGGTAATTATCTACACAACACATGTGAAATTGTTCCGTTATCTCTAATACAACTGAAAATACACAAGAAAGAAGAAAGAAATAGCTTGAAAACACATCAAAAAAGTCTTGGCACACAGCATTAATTCGTCGTATATTTGCAAATATAACGGTAACCTTTACACACCTAATATTTTGTAACACCGCCCTTAGCTTGGATAACTGCTTCTAAGCGCCTACGCATACTTCCGACTAAGTTGGATGTCTCCAAAGGAGTTATTTCTGCCCATTCCGTGCGTATAGCATATTTGAGGGAATCCTTTGATGTTATTTTATGTTTGCGTATTTTTTTTTCCAAAATGTTCCAAATATACTCGATAGGATTCATATCCGGCGACTGTGGGGGTGTTTTTAATTGTTTGCAATGCCATATAAGCCATTCCTGCACCAGATACGACGTATGCTTTGGGTCATTGTCCTGTTGAAATTGCCAACTACGTCCATTTAACCCCAATTTCTCCGCACTTGGAAGTAAATTTTCTTTTAAGATATTGAGGAACACATGTTTATCCATTTTTTCATCAATGAAGACCAAGTTTCCGACTCCAGATGCAGCTATGCACCCCCACACCATGACATTTCCCCCACCGTGCTTAATTGTTTTGATTATGTTATTTTCTTGGAGTTCTTTGTTAGGCTTCCGCCAAATTTTTTGCGCGCCATCTGACCCAAATAAGTTGTATTTTGATTCGTCACTGAATATTACACTATTCCAGAATGATTCCGGCTGATTTAAATGGAGCTTAGCGAACTCCAGTCTCTTCTTCCGATTTTCTTTCGAAATGTAAGGCTTGCGACGGGGGACTCTTCCATGGAAACCAGCTCTGTATAATGTGTTCCGTATTGTTTGAGGGTTAATATTTTCTTTAAAGCGTTCCTGCATTTCATGGCATAGTTTGACCGCAGAAAGCCTTGGGTTTTGTGCGACCGCAGCGACTACTACCCCCTCCTGGCGTTGTGTAAATTTTTTTGGCCGCCCGCTTCTGGATTTATGCTCCACTTGGCCGCTTTCTATGTAGTGCTTTATAATGTTTCGTACACTTGAAAATGGTTTGCCAACTATAGTGCCAATTTCGCGATAACTTTTTCGCTGGACATAGAGATTTATAATCATTTTACGGACTTCTACTGAAATTTCCATGCCTCCACCCATTTTGATCGCTTTGTCACCAACTTAAGAGCAAAACTAACTTCAAATCGCAAGGAAATGGAGGAATGAGCAATTATTGAAGACAGAGTAAGAAACAGATCAAAGAAAATTGAAAGGTTACCGTTATATTTGCAAATACACGACGAATTAATGCTGTGTGCCAAGACTTTTTTGATGTGTTTTCAAGCTATTTCTTTCTTCTTTCTTGTGTATTTTCAGTTGTATGAGAGATAACGGAACAATTTCACATGTGTTGTGTAGATAATTACCAAATGTTACTAACTGCATCACAAAAAATTTTCAAAGCCCATCAATAATAAGTATTAAATACGTTTTTCATAAAAAATTCTGCTTGTGCCAAGACTTTATTGATTCACTGTATGTACTGATCATAGTTGTGAAACAAAGAGTGCCTCACGAAGTTTAGCTATCTAATAGCCACAACAATTCGACTGCACTCACCAAGAAATTATTCATAGGTAATGGCAACGAAAGAGCCTATGTTTTAGATACATATGTGTTTGCCTTTAAAGTATTTGTTCTTGTCAAGCAAAATTTTAGGAAAACATTTATTACTTTAATTTATATGCAGATCATTCTGCTGTTGTGAATCAGTATGAATTTCTTAAAAATATCTATGTATGTGTGTGTATACATTTCGATATATGCAATTAGCCATTGGCATTTAAAAAGTGCATCTACTTCAAGGCCTCAAAGCGGTTGTGTATTATTTTCAGTGATTTTAATATCAAAAATTGTATTCAATTGCATAGTCATAGCAAAAAAGCCAATGTAACAAATTTTGACTTTATTACTTTCTACTATCAACAGTTGTAAACGTATTATTACATTGCATTTCATTAATTTAACAACAAGAAAAATTGTTCCAAACCACGGGCATCATATAAAACGGCATTTTTTGTGTAAATATACATACCTATTTGTTAACATATAATAAATTATAGAACATAAAACAACTATAAATACAATTATGTAGTAAATTATTATATTTGATATCTCATATTGTTTTAAAGAATGCACTTCGAAAGGTAGCGAACTAAATTTTAGAAATGAGTTAATTGATTTAAATTGATTGTGACATCAATTAGTTAGTGTTAAAGACATTAGCAAGTCTGGACTGATTTCAAATGTGTCTACTAAGACGAAACTGTCAAAACACCAAAACAAATAACCCGATAGTCAGCACAAATTGGACGCAACAAAGGCAAACAAATTGCGCCGTCGCCAATTTCGCATGCAAATTGGGATGTACGGTAAAAAAAAAAAAAAACAAAGTAAATCATATACAACAAGCTGGAAATTCCTAGAGGTCGCGAAAGACATTAGATCGGTAACTTTGCAGCAAGTCGATCGCTCTTGCTCTCTCTCCACGCCGAGTTTATGTTTTGAATCTTTGCTTAATTCACTAGTTTGTCCATCGGATTTAAATTGTTGTTGCTCTGCGAACCCTACCTTCGTACATTGTTTGTCTGTACATACATACATATGTTTTGTTATTTGTTTCTATTTTCGATTCACGTCACCCATTTCAAATTTAAGCGCGACCAGATCGTGAAAGTCGACGGCGTCACTGTGACGCCAAGTCCGATTGTTGGCGGCAGACAGTCGCCGTCTATGGACCAGTTTTGTTATTGGAAAGATGTTTTGGGTTTAACCCGAAGGGGACAAATGAAGAGGCGGTCGCAGCGCAAAAAGTCGGCGTTTGTATATAAAATTAATTTAACGTAGATTTTTGCAAATTAAATTACTGCCTTAGTTGTGTGCTAAAATGTAATTTTCATTATTTTACAGTTAATTTATTTTGCAAGCGCACATTCCACATTCTGTTTTATAAATGTTTCTGTATATTTATTTTTGTTAATGGCTCATTTTTGGCAACAGTATACAAATAGATATATACGTATGTATGTTTGAATGTTCATTCCAGTGATTATAATAAATTGTCTGGGACGCAACAAACGAATGTTTGCTAGAACTGCCCAAATACACTACAATTAAAACTCATTACTATAAAAGTACTTAAAACTTAATTGAAATATTTTAATATCCCCATAATTGAAACCGATCGTATTTGATTTCATAGCGCAATACTTATTTTCTTAGTATGAATTAAAAATTTTAAGAAATATAAAACTGGCGTGCTGCAAAGCTTTGTATTTATCTGACTATTAGAAGGTTAGCGCCATTTAGAAAAAAATGTAATGTGGCATAGTATGCCCCTGTTTCGATTAGATAAATAACTTATATTCTAACAAAATGCTTCAATTGCTGAAATCAGAAAATTAACTTATTTCAATTTGCAAATCAAAAACAGTATTTAAATCGTAGAATAGAGAAATGTACTAGATTGTGATGTATCAAAATTGCAAGGAATTTAGAGTCAAATGCGTCTGGAGAGCTCTCAATTGACAAGTAAAAATTGTAATCGTAGATTAAGAAGAGGAATCAATCAATTGGAAGCACACATACATACTGCTTTTGGAATGCATCGCCGGATTATAGCGACTATGACCAAGCAACTTTACCATTGCAGCTTCGAGATTCACGGCCATGTGCAGGGAGTCCACTTCCGCAGATGTACGGAGCGAAAATCCAAGGAGTTGGGCTTACGCGGCTGGGTCATGAATACGGAACAGGGCACTGTAAAAGGCGAAATACAGGGGAATGCCGAACAGTTGCAGCAAATGAAACGATGGCTACAGATAAATGGCAGTCCTCGGTCCCGTATCGACAAGGCATCGTTTAGTGATCTGCGCAAAATCTCCAAGTTTCATTTCGATAACTTCACCATACGCAAGCATCCACCAATCAATTTAACCAACATGAATTCATCCTAATTCAAATATGAAATAAATTCTTTGAATTTGTCCGAAGAATGCATTAATGAAATAGTTGCCCTGCGGCTGCTTCGGTAGCAACATGCGTGCCGGCCACATACATAAATGGGCTCCTCATACGTACATACATACATACATACATAAATGAGTGTGTATAAATAAATATATGCTTATTCTATATACGCACACAATGGGATATCTCAGTGGTCGTCAACCGTGACATTCTGTTGACTTAATAAGTCAGCGATTTGACGACCAGCGTGCGCTTCGTATGGGGAAATTCCCGGAGTTTGGAGAGCGCAGCTAACGGGTTTTTTTTTATCAGGCAGGTTTCTTCATAATGTTCATATTAGTTATGTATGTACATAGTGCATATTCGCATATACATACATATGAATGTACATATGTATGTATGCTAGCGGCTCCAATATCCCCAAACTCAGCTATTATTTTAAATGTTTTCATTAGTTATCCGTCTAAAACTATTTGCTATAAATCTAATATTTCTCACAGCTGAGCTTCATATTTTGATTTATTCCATTTTTAGTAAACTGATTTAAAATTTACATATTTTGAAAAATGGGCTTGAGCGATGCCCAATTAAAAGAATCAAGTATACATCAAATTTGCTTTCCGGTCAATTATATCTTATTTTAGAGAGTACATATGCATGTATTTTCGGATAAACTGGACGCAGATTTGTGTCGCATACAACACAATTATTTCAAAAAACCCTTTTAACTTTATTCCTAGGGTATAAAAAGCATAGTCATTAGAAATTAACGCAAAGAGAGCGCAATCTTTTAGAAAACTATTAAAGTGTTCAGCTGACTGCCTCTTCAGACATAAAGCGCGAGGTATCAGATGAGATTGCAAAATTAATTATGAGATCAGCGCGCAGAATTCGTGCATAAAATAAAGAAATGCGATTCAAGAACAGTATATTGCTGCCAGAATTGAAGTTGTTGAAATGCTTGGCTCTTTAATTCTTTTATGTATTCGTTTAATCCGTTCTTTTTGTTCTGTTTATCAGAAGTCAAGGCACTATACAAAAGTATGTACATAACGTACATACATACATACGTAATATTAGTACTACATATTGCTACTGAGAGGGAATGGCAAGAGAGGTACCTTTGAGAACCTTCAGTGATCAATTATTGGCTTGATCGGTCTATTTGTTTAAGTGTTTTTTTTTTCGCTCAAGCTTGCACCAAATTTGGTTAAAAGCCATTCGCATATTGTTGCCAGCTAAGGAATTTCCCAGAAACTTTTAAGAGAAAGAAATTTCTGTTGCCAAAACTTGCTCTAAACTGTATTAATTAATTTCAGATTAATTTGCATATTTAGCATGTCGTTTTTATTTATCATCTTTAGCTTAAAACCCCAAGACTCAAATCCGCCTAGGAGCACAATGTCTGGCGCCATAGAAATTGCCAATAATCGATCAAGCATTTTGACTAGTTGCTTGTCCACCATGTGCTAATCGGTTCATTGTCGTGGCGTGAATTTTTTATTACAGGTCTCGCTACTGTCGAGACCGGTCCAGGCTCAGGTCCACGTCCACGGCCGCATCTATTTTCATTTCCCGATCCAAATGTGGGCAGGCCGCAGTATAGGAACTGCTGACAGCGACGTCTGCTGCTTTAGCGAATTATGCAGGAATTTTAATACGTCTTCGTCTTTGAGTCGCCAACCATAAATTCTTCGAATCCGACAGTTTTTATATGGTAGACTAGTATCGTAAATTCATTTTCTGCCAAGCCATCGCATAACTTTTGTTTTTATTTTCAAGCATTTCGCCTTAAGTCATTCAATACCAACTTTATGGATACGGCAGGTTTCTTTACCTATTAAGTATAAGTAAGCTAAGCGCTTATATAGAAACAAGTTCTTACGGCAATGTCGAATTAGGCCGATTGCTAATTACATGGCTTTTTGATATTACTACAGAAATTTATAATTGATTTTTAAATCGAGTAGGCGTTTGGATACTTTGTCAAGGACTCGAACTGCTTTCTATCAGTCTATATGAGGCTTTCGAAAGGAAAGTACAAAATTCTGTTGTAAAAAATTTGTGTTATTTCTATCACTCGTAAAAATGTCACACCCACTAATCAATGGCAAGACTTTGCTGGAGAACATTAAGGCTATCAATGAGCCAGTCACGTTTGATGGCATCGCCGACTCGTTCGAGGGATCAGTGAAGAGCTCTGAGGACACAAGCAAGTTGAAGGCGTTACTCGCATCCGCTGTCCGTCTTGGATTTGTGGTGCAGTACAATAACCACTATTTTTCAGCTACCCATGTGGATGACATTAAGGAGGTAATGGAATGGGAGTCGCACACTTCAATGGGTGCAGTCTCATGTTTGGGATCGATTGACAGTTCGGAAGAGTAGACGCAATAAGCGGAGCCCCGAAAATGGTAAGTTCGGGGAGTTATTGTTATATCGAGCGCATTCATTAATAATAGAACTCACATAGCGGTCTCAGCGAATTGCAAATAATAATACGTGCAAAGCCCAAAAGTTCATGGACCGCTATAAATGAAAAGCTGTATGCCATTTATTTCTCAGTTTTGTTCAATATACACGTACATACAAGTACATACACTGTACATTCATTAGCATCAGCCAAGAGGCTGTTTAAAATTCTTTTCTGTGCACAACAAAGCGATTAATCAATTAAATATGTCAGTCCTGCAAAATACCTGTGAAAATTCCTTTCCAAAAGCTCAGTTTAATTGCAAATTAATTGTTTATTAATTGTAAAACAAGTCAAAACAAAAAGCTAACTTACAAATTTATTGCTTCGTTTAATTATTATTTATTTATTTTTATACCCTGTACCCGTAGTGTAAAAAGGGTATTTTGGATTTGTATAAAGTATGTAACAGGCCTGTCCGACCCAATAAAAAATATATATTCTTCGTCATCGTGTCTGTCCGTTCATCTTTCAGTCTGTCTGGATGAACGCCTTCATTACAGAAACGTCTGAACCCTCCCTAACCATACCATATGTATGTAGACTCTCCTAATATCCAAGCCACACGAGCTTAATTCATATTTTTGATTCTTCCTCCCTCCCCCCGCAACAGAGTTTCGTCACAATCCCAAAGCTTTATTTACTCATTGCATTCGCAATAAATACGTAAATAATTTGTTATTTTTGTTTTAAATTTCATCCAAATCGGTTTTTTATAGTAAAAGTTATAAGCGATAAAATTGTTCTTCATTACTACGCCCACAAACTGCAGCATCGGGTTCGCTCTTCTTTTTTACTTCTGCTATGCGCGATATATACGTACATATATGTATGTATGTATACTATACTAAGTCGGCAGTTTGTTTGGATACAGGGTATTTCACTGTCGGGCATGCTCGACTGTAGCATTCCTTCTTTGTTTATTGTTGCATATGAGGCTTAAATGTAGGTAAAAATGTACAGTCATCGACGAAAGTACTGGCAACATGTTCATTTATTGTTAAGGACAAAACTAATCGATATTATCGACGTGATCTTGATATTATTAATTTCTACAGGTGATGTCAGTCTTTAATGGGGTCAGTATTTTTGCTTACAGTTGTAAGTTTATTTACAATATGCTATTTCTATTCCGACACTCTCTAAAGATTCTAAAGGAACTGCCAATAGCAAATTACTTTGGTACGTTCCGAAAGCTACGCCATATAGTACAATATATACTGTGACCATACACGTACTATTTACATACTATCTGTAGATTTGTGAGAAATAAAAATTATAATATTTTGAAATTAAATTGTGAAATATCTGATAAATTAATTAAAAGATTGTGGCCGCCCTCCTCTGCGATTCTCATACCAAGTACCTAAGCGCTGGCAAATCGAGAATTAAATTGTGAAATTTCTGAAAAATTAAATAATATTGTTGTGGAATTAAATTGTGAATTTTTTGATAAATTAAATAAAAATATTGTGGGCGCCCTCCTCTGCGATTCTCATACCAAGTACCTAAGCACTGGCAAATCGAGAATTAAATTGTGAAATTTCTGAAAAATTAAATAATATTATTGTGGAATTAAATTGTGAATTTTTTGATAAATTAAATAAAAATATTGTGGGCGCCCTCCTCTGCGATTCTCATACCAAGTACCTAAGCGCTGGCAAATCGAGAATTAAATTGTGAAATTTCTGAAAAATTAAATAATATTATTGTGGAATTAAATTGTGAATTTTTTGATAAATTAAATAAAAATATTGTGGGTGCCCTCCTCTGCGATTCTCATACCAAGTACCTAAGCACTGGCAAATCGAGAATTAAATTGAGAAATTTCTGAAAAATTAAATAATATTATTGTGGAATTAAATTGTTAGTTTTTTGATAAATTAAATAAAAATATTGTGGGCGCCCTCCTCTGCGATTCTCATACCAAGTACCTAAGCGCTGGCAAACCGAGAATTAAATTGTGAAATTTCTGAAAAAAAAAAATAAATAATAATATTGTTTGTCTTTTTTTTTAATTATACTGTTATTTTTGTAACTTAAATTAAACTTATAGCTAAATACAAATACAACTAAACTAGGTGTTTAGTCTTAATTACAAATTTATATTGACCTCTTTAGCCTTCTCCTATCTGTAGCTCTTCCAAAAGAGAAAATGATAAATTTATATACGTACATACAATATTGCAATATTGTAATATTGCGTATCAAGGTTCGCCGGCAGAAACGGGTTAAACGGGTATGCCAAGATCTGGCACAACGCATACCAAAATGCGCAGAAGTAGAAAACAAAAATTAGCAAATACCAGACACTGTAATCAAAGACCTTAAGCTATATAGATGACAGTTACAGCAAATAAGCAGATATGACTATATAAACATGGATCCTAAGTATGTATATTGATCGATTGGCGGAGTCATTAGAGTATTATCAGGTACGAGACAGTGCAAGATTTTGATTTGTATACCTATACTGTGCAAAATGAAAAATGTAACAGACAGAAAGACATGCGTGACAGACCCCACAAAGTCAATAAAGCCATGGTCTGTTTGTATGTCTGACCATCCGTATGGACATCTAGAACAGGGTGTCAAAAAATGTTAATTTACTTCGATATATTTGTGGAAGTAGTTGGGATGTGTTCCAGCCGGTGTTCCAATACTTGAATTAAAATCATATTTTTTGCAGGAAAATTATGGTAAGTATGGTCCTTCTTGGCACTAAAAAATCACGTTTGCCCTCTAGCTTTTATCCTTTTAGGTATTTTAACCATACGTGCCATCACAATTTTAATTTTTAAAGCCATCTGTTCGAGTAAATTTAAAAATGATTACAAATTTAAGTTTTTGAATATTGCATGGGAAATGCCATAATTCTTAATGTCTATGCATCCAAAATATTCGTAGCTGCCTTTAGACATTACTGCGAGTTTTGTCAATTTCCAAAAATATTTCATCCAAAGTCATCTGCGTGATTGCGTAGTCTTCTATATTTAATTTTGCGCGATTGTTTTCGATAATCTTAAATATTTTCGACCACTTGGAGCTCGCAATTGGAATAAAGTAAGTGAGTTGACCTTGAAATTCTTCCTCTAAAACTGACTCGGGTAATTTGTGAGCTATAAATTTCTTGACCAAATCAGTTTGTCCCGTGCAATCATCGCAATCAAAAACATCACTGTCGGTCGATAGACGTTGGCTTGCGCTTGAACTTGACCTTCCGCCTTCTTTCACCCGGATCTTAAGTACGAAACCCTTAGAGTACTTGTTCTTTAAGGTCTGTGTAGAGCCAATGCACTTGAATTCCCCATCAACCATAATAGCAACTCGCATGCACAAGGCCTCAACCTCCTCCATGCAATGGGAGGTCAGTACGACGGCCTTGCCAAGCTCTCGAAACTGCGCCAATATATTCCACATTTGTCGACGTACACCTGGATCCATACCGGCCGATGGCTCATCTAGATATAGGACTGACGGGTTATTTATCAGAGATATAGCGAGGCTGAGCTTGCGCTTGCTTCCTCCACTATAGTGTTTTATCGGCTTATTAATGTGCTGAATAAAGCGCAATCTGGTCGCCAAATCTTCGCAGACCGTCCTTATGTACTTCCGCTTCACGCCGCGCAGCATGCAGTAAAAGCGCATTGTCTCCCGTCCTGTCAACTCCCCAATTACCGCATCGAACTGCGGACAATAGCCAATTCTGTCGTACACTTTGCGGATTTGTGTTTTAACGTTGATGCCTTCGACATATGCCGTTCCCGACCCGATTCGTATATCTCCAGTAAGCATCTTGAAAGTGGTGGTCTTGCCCGCGCCGTTTACACCCAATAGGCCAAAGCACTCCGCAGGTTCCACATAGAATGATAGTTCTTTCACAGCAACTAATTTTCCGAATTTCTTGCTTATGCGATCAACGACAAGAGGCAGATCGTTCCGTTCATCTTCTGTGAGATTAGCAACGGTTGATCGCTCGATCTCAACATCATCGGGATCTGAATTTTGACCACCCTGCTGCCTGTTCCCACCCTTTAGGCAATTAGGCAGGCACTCACACTTTTTGGCATCCAAGAGCATAATATATAGCATATAAATCGTGCCTGACAGAAGAAAGAATAATATGTGCACCATAATGCCAGGTTTTGTCCAGGCAAAGTATCCCGGAATATTACAGCAAGCGGGTACGAATTTGCAAAGATCTTCATGCGATAATCTTGCCAAAGTAGGATTGCTACAACTCCTGTGTAAGTTAGAATTATTGTGTAGATCAAACATGGTTTCAGCGATGCAATAGTGGGGAAAAAGACGCAAAATTCCCAACAAAATTCTTACAATCGTGTTTGGGTTCCTAAGAAAATTATAAATAAGCATATACGGAATTGGTCCCAAAATAAAACACACAGTTATGGTGGTTGAAAATCCCGCAGCCGGGTCAGAAGGGCATATGGATATAAAATATATGAAAGGAATTGCTGAAAGCCCAAAAATGAGAAACACAGTTAGGTACCGGCTTATATCCCCAAGAGTAGAGTATCCCGGCAACTGGAAAACAGCAACAGTTATTAATCCTAGAATAGCAGTCAGTACTAATATTGCATAATCCCATAATAGATGCGATATCCAGTATAAAACAACGTCTACTCCGGACATAAATTGCAAAAGCTTCGATCTTGTTTCACGCTCCGTTATCACCGGAATTACAAAGAACGCAGTAACGAAGACCATGCATATACAAAGGCTAAAGCACATTTGGAATCCCAACTGATTGCGCGATTCTAATCGCTTGGCAAGTGTGTGCTTACTATATGGCAGAGGAGCATGAGTTACATCTATTTCAGCCTTCGAATCCAACAGGTGACGGGCCAGAGCATTGTGAAGTATGTTAAGTGTTAGGGGGGCCGTATGAAATGGTTTGTTGTTCAACCAGACGGTTAGACTACTTTCCGAAATGGTCGCACCGGCCACGTACTCTTTATCAACAAGGGAGCGCTTTTCTTTCGACACCTCCAGTATATACTCCTCGAAGTCTGCGCCACTGGTGCTCAGCAACTTAACCCCTCCACCTTGATAACTAATAAAGTTAGCATAAGATACTGAGATCGGCTTCGTTGTCTCTCCGGACTTATCTTCCAGAACCACGTAGGCACTCGGATAATTCTTCAATGAAACTTGCATGGGGGGAAGCGCAGTTGGTGCGGATTTCGATATAAATACTAAAATCGACCCCATAAAAAGAATTGGTAGTGCCAGCTGAAGAATCAGTAGCCAGTAACTACGCTGGGTTGTCAAAGCCTTCTTCATAAACATCGCTCTCCAACGCATAAAGCAGCGGGTACGCGAGCTCGACTCATAAACATCGGACGCGAAGACCGAGACATCCTCCGCACCAGATGGAAGGCGTTTCTGATTCGTGTTGATGCCCTGGCCACCGACTTCTCTTTTGTTGTCTCCCCCAACCTGCTGTAGAACATCCTCCAATGTGGCCACACTTACACCATAGCCCTCCAAATGCAACTTCTTTGATTTTTTCTCCAGATCCCTAAGGATATCTGAGAACACTGAAACATGTTGAAGGGGAAGACGGTATAGCAACTCCCTTCCCAGTTCACTTTCCGGTCTTATGTCAGGTATATGCTTGGCCAGGAATGCTGTTACCTGTTCAACATCGCAATCCGGTTGCTTTATGCAGACTAATCGGTAGCCGAAGCCGTATTGCCTTTTAAGACTAAAAGACGTGCCGTGGCACTGTAGCTGGCCATTGCTCATAATGGCGATGTGGTCCGCTAGTGCGTCCGCTTCATCCATGTAGTGTGTGGTTAATAAAATGGTGCGGCCTGGTTTTTGGGATCGCAGTAGATCCCATAGATGGCGACGGGCAGATACGTCCAGACCCGAACTAGGCTCGTCACAAAGCACGGTTTTTGTGTTTCCGCAAAGAGCGCAGCAGACGGAAAGCTTGCGCTTCATGCCTCCTGATAACTTGGAAGCGACAACATTTTTCTTTTCCTCCAGCCCCATTATTTTCAAATATTTGTCCACTTCATTATTTAGCTCATATCCTTTTAAGCCCTTTACTCTGCTGAAGAAAACGAGATGATTGCGAACGCTCATTTCGTTAAAGAGAACATTTTGCTGCGGGCAAATCCCAAGCGAGCTCCGGACACATCTAAGCTGGGTTCGGATGTCGCATCCATTGATAATGGCTGTTCCTGACGTTGGCGCGACAGTGCCGGTAAGCATCTGTATGGTTGTTGTCTTTCCAGCACCGTTGTGGCCCAGCAAGACAGTAATTTCATTTCGAGACATATTCAAGGAAAGGTCTTTTACAGCAACTGCATCGCCATAGCGCTTTCTGAGATTTCGGATATGTATACCCGGCTGAAGAGCATCCTCTTTAGTTGAGGTCCTGGGTCGACAGGCGCAGCGTTTTTCTTCGCCAGATATATCGCTGCTTGATCCGCTTTCACCAGAGGAGGTAAAAGCGAAGCCCACAAGTGACTGCCAGATTTTGCGTTGGAATGGATAGTTCCATTTCCGAGCTACACCGTAGTTTCCTGGATATACTTGCTCCACATATAGACAGACTAACATGAATATAACAGATCCTATTGTTAACATAGCACAAACATGAAAAAGTGCTAGAGAATCGTCTATCGAGACAGATCGAAAAAAGTTTCCCCATTGAAGGCCCTCGCCAGAATTTTCCCATGTAAAAATGACTAACATCCCAACTCCAAGCCCCGTATTAGGAAACAGCATGCATAAAACGAGCTTGCTCACTAGGTCTACCTTTTCATAAAAAAATTGAATGGCAAAATAAGGTACGAATGTTAGGATGCTTACGATTTCTATGACGGCAGTTGCAGTCGTGGCCCTATTAAAAAACACAGCCATCATGCAGAAAAAACAGAAGCTGGCCACGAAATAAAAATTGAAAAAGAGAAATACTGGTAAAATACTGCTATAAGGAAGAATAGCAATATTGGAATAAGGAACAAACAGCATAAACAAAACATAAAGTGTGACTACCATTAACCACATGTAGGTAATTATAAACCAAGAAACCCAATGGATCCAATTTTGAAGACCAAGAATCTTCATGATTTCCTTGAGCTGGGCCTCTTTCTCTGCGCTTACCCTTGTCCCTAAATTCGTCAAAAAGACACCAAAACAAGCGCTTAGTGCGAATGGCAAATACCATCTAGATACGATAGCAAAACTATCTAAAAAGTAGGGGTTGTATGGGAAACGTCTAAGCTGCATCTTAGGTAGAGATTGAAACTTTGTGCCAGCAGCTAACTTAAGCCAGGACATGGTGAGCGCATGCTGAATTGGTAGAAATCCCTCTGCTATATAACCAACGGGCACTCCCCCATCATCGAAGTCGTCGTTACGCGGCCCGACTGGGTCATTTTCTGGAAAGAGTCTGTCCGTCTGCCAATTCATAACTACCGGGCCTTGTGCAGTTCGGAGCTCGCTGGGAAATCGCAATGCGTATCTCAATATCGTTGGATATTTCCCGCTTCTGCTCGTATCCATGTCATTCGAATCAAATTCTACGCCAGCTATATAGTTGTGCTCCAATAGATCGTATTCCATATGTTCTGGACTGTTGTAGGCACGCACACCCGCAAGGGATAGTTGAGTGGCTGCCATTAAAGCGATATCCTTATTTATGGTAGTATTGGGCGTGTAGCAAAGCACATGGATAGGCCTATTTATCGTACCATTCTCATGCATTATAAGATTTCCATCCATTACCGAGTTCAAGTAAAGTTGGAGAGTGTCAATGGGCACGGGGGGGTAACGTCGCTCAGGTAAGTTTTCTGCCCTTAAAATAAGTCGCAAAATGATAGCCTTTATCAAACACATAAATACCTGAAAAAAAAGAACGCAAAGTGGACATTTTCGCTTCCAATCCAGTGTCCAGTTCTTCCATACAAGAAGCTTCACTTTCTGCCAGTTGGAAATGGGTTTTGGCTCAATTTCGGTGCTATGTTTATTTGAAAAATTCATACTTCCAATTTATTCCAAAATATTTACATTTGTTTTTGACAAATTATGCGTGGTATGATTTTATTCTCAATTTGTTTGCTTCACGATGGCAGTTTCAACAAAAATTTTAAATGCCGCAGCTTTTTCTGCATAAGAATCGCATGAGTTGGTTGAGGTAGGTCGGGAGCTGAAATATCATGCCGCACACATGCTAATGAATTTGTGATAAATTCGAAAATAAATTTACAGTACGTTCATAATTAAATATGCAAGTAATGAACCGAGAACAAAAATAATTTTACACGCCTTCAGATTGCAAGTTATGTATACTTGTATTCCTAAATATGTCATAAACTAAGCTAAGCTTACTAACAAAAACAGATTAGAGTTGTGCGTAAAAAGGAAAGGAGTCAAGAAACCAAGTCTTGATATTTTTTTTCTACCATGTGAGATATATCTCATATCTCCCTTTTCGCACCTTCAACTTTTGGCTTTAAACTGATGCCCCTCATTTAATTATGAATAATTGTATACTCATACAGGGCGAGGCATGATATTTATAAGTCAAATTACAAAAAGCCCACGTGGAACCTAAAAAAGGAGTGTTGTTGAACACAAAAGAAAGCTGGTGGGTGATTACATCGATATATGCCGATGCTCGCAGGCGGATCTGGAAAGCCCCGCAAGACAATTCAAGTGCGGCCGGTACGCTTATAATGGCCCATTTGAGGCAATCGAACAATTAATTACACAAATTGCAAATAATGCACAGAACAATGGAATGCTGGGACGCGTGGGTCGTACACATAACAATGCCAGACAAGAAGAAAAAGCATATTCATTGCTCGCCGCGATCTCTAGAAACCATAATTACAGACATGTGTTAGATCTAGAGTTTCAATGCGGACCGTCGGGGAATAAAACGGAGGACGAGGCGGTCGCACGTACATTGTCAAATACAAATGCCAAACATTAAAAATATATTTTTAATAGAGAATTAAAGGCTCGCGTTGGTACAAATCGTACCCAACGGCAGCAAACTTATTTACAAATAATTATTTTAATGTTATTGTATGTATGTAATTGTTATAGTTACTTTTCAAAAATCTACAAATCTTAAAAATTTAATTCTTTTTATGTTATATTTATAAAATTTAACAAGAAAAAAAGAGTATGTGATTTAAAAAGTACAAAAGTAATAAAAATAGTAACATTTCTAGCAGTGTAGATTGACTCGCCTGAACAAGAAAACATTTATTTTGGTTTTAATATTTTGATTATTACAAAAACTAAACGAGCTATAAATATTATATTCTTATTATTATTTCGTAATACCCTCTAACCTAGTGGTACAGGGTATAGAAGAAAAGGCAGGTCAGCCACATTTTCACTCATACAAAGTCAAAAGCCAAACGTGTGCTTATGATGAGAGCAAGAGAGCGGGAGAGCGGGAGAGCGTCGATGACGTAGCTCTGTGGTGCGGACTCAGTTTAAATATGAGCGTATTGGTCGATGTGGCTTCAGTTTGCGACTGCCAAGCGTAGTGTACAGATCTTTGTCACATTCTAAATCCAGAAAGCTCGCGTCCAGAAATCTGCGAACATAAGCTGTAGTGATCGGAAAGTGCCTGTGAAAAACAAAACAATCCAAACATAATATACGTGTAGAACTGAAAAATTAAATAAAAGAAAATACCATACCACTGAACAAAAATGTGCACGCAAAAAGTACAAATTGCGCTCGCTCTCCTTGCCTGCGCCTTCGTCGTGGAAGCTGCTGTGTTCACACAACCTGCCCTTTTGCATCCTGGTTAGTAATCTGAAATCGAAATCAAAATCTTATAAGGATGCATAATAAAATGTTTGTCGTGTTAAAAGTGCAAGTTCGTTGCCTGTGTCTTTCATTTTGCTAAGTGTCTTGCAGCGTTGTTTCTAAATGAATACACAATTTAAGCTTTAGAAAATGTTCAGATTCTATTCAATGTTATTTAGGTAGTTAGGTAGTTTTCAATTAAATTTCCAATCAATGTTAAGTTATAAACAAAAGTTGTTTGTACATGGCCAAGTGCCAGAATCGACCGTAAATAATTATCAAATAAACCGACGTCAACTCTGATAGCTGTTTGCAGTTTTGTGATTGATTTACGAGACAACTAAGGCATTGGAGAGAGTTTAAAAGCACACAGTGCTAAATGATCATTACAAATCGTGATGCATTTGTAATAAAATGTCAACTGGAAAATATATAAAATATAGATAAGAATACGAGAAAATGTATACCATGCATCATGTTTTATTTAAAATCAGCTTTTGGAAACTTTTCGACTTTACTCATAACACACAATCAGGCAGAAGTTGATTTTGACGTCAAGCCCCGAGATACTTAATAACTTATTGCGCTTTTGTTTTTACGCGTCTGTTTTGATTTTTATACCATGTTGTTATTTAATTTATGCTTGTTTTTGTTTTTCTGTTTTGCTGCCGACTAATCAAAAGTCTGACGTCAATGTTTGTGCCAGAAAAGAAATGTCTCTGAATTAATATGAAAAATGTTAGCGCTATTAGAAGCATAAAATGAAAAAACATGATTCAAGTTTAGAGTTTTGTTGGCCCTCCCATTTGTGCGATATCTACTAATTTCATTTTGGGTTTTTCGCATTTTTTTCTTCTTAGCTTGCCAAAAATTAGCATTAGAAATGTGCTGATTTTTTGGATTATTATTCAAAGCTTTGACTAATTTGCATCGCTATGCGGATTTACGTTAGGGGAGAAACAATGTATTTGCCTATTGTGAAATAGTTTCTCGATTTTATTTTTTGTTTTTGGCATTAATTTGTGAAGGTCGTTTAACAACGTCGACGTGGAGATCGAAGCCGGTATTGTGCCGTGCGCTCCATTTGAATTTTGGAGTTTGTTTGTATTTATTTATGAATCGCGCTTGAATTTGTCTTTATGGCCGGCAAATGCTTTATTTGCCGTCTTACTAATTTAAAAGCGATTTAAGTAAGAAATTAGCGCCGACTCTTTAAAAATAGGCGATGAGTTCACGTCCAGTCGAGTTTGTTTATCTATTGGCTGCCGTTTCAATTAATTCCACATTCAATATTGATTGAGTGTTCGCCGTTCTTTGAAGACACAATCCCAGGCCGGCACCACATCTGGTCCCCATGAGGCGAACCTCGAGTGCGCAACGAGTGCCATTAATCAAATTTTTGCCTTTCTATTCGTACATTTATTTTTAAACTCGACAATTTCAGCCTCAGGCTAATTGTTAATAATACTCGTACATATAAGTATGTCTGTGCAGCTCTTGCTGACGCAGCAAGTTCAGAAATGGACCTTTACAAGCTGTCGATTGCCCGACTCGCGTAGGTTGTTGGCACTGATTGTGTATTTGGACATACGTACATATATATGGGTAGAGTATATGTTTATATGTATGTTCATTTGTGAGCTGTAATTATGGTGTGGAAGTTTTAAAAATAAACCCTTTTGAAATTATTTCTTGTGCACCATAATATGGGGAGTATGTGTTCTTCAGAAATTTTGATTTTCTCATTATTGTTTTTATTTGTTTGTTGTCCACCCATGATTTTACAGCATTATTGTTATTTGAGATGCACACACAGCTCATGCATAATAATAATTTATTGCCACTTCCTCAAAAGCCGTAGCTAAAGAAGCAACGGCATATAAATTAAATGCAACAGACACAACAACAAAGCCAAGCTATAACAAAACACGATTACATGGAATACGCCAAGCATTATACACGACAAAACAAACTGTAGTAAAAAGAAGGAAAAAAATTATTGCAAAATGTTAACAACTTCCGCTTTAAGAGCGACCGACATTAACCGATTCCTCCCCTAACCCTCTTCCATCTCACTTGCAGCGCACCCCGGCAAATGCTTCGACAAGTTCACCAGACGCGCTATGCTGCCACACAAGGAATACAAGCCGAAGGGCATCTGCGCCGCCATGACGTGCGACATTGAGGCGAGGCAGATCAATATCGAGACCTGTCCCTACGTTGAAATGCCCGGCTGCGAGGAGCTGCCCACAGATGCCAACTGGAGCTTCCCCAAGTGTTGTCCGCAGTTCAAGTGCGTCGACTTTAAAACCGGCAAGGAGTTTGTCGTCTCGCTGTAGATATACTTGTATTATGCGACAACGTGATTTTACATGAAATGTATTCGTAGATATGTATGTAAATCTGCATGGGAGTGTGAATGTGTTTTTGTGCGATATATCAAGTATATATATATAAATGTGTCTGTATGTGCGAATGTTTTTCATTTACTATAAATTCTTAACTTATTTATTTTTCAAATATGTACATAAACTCAAAAATTGCATTGCATCTATAAAAAATTGTCCTACACCTACGACCCCTTTTCCATGACTCATGTGTGAAGAATTTTATTTTGATTTATTCAAAAAGCCTGTATGCGATATTTGCAAATTTAACTCATAATTGTATACTATATGTAAAATGGCTTAGTTTTTAAGTTTTTATGCCAATAAGGAAATTTAATAAATACACAAAACAGTTAATACCCGAATTGAAGTCACATTCCATTATGTAAAATACACAAATTTCATTCACATATGAATGTGCAAACATTATTCAATTAGCAGCCGAATGCCCAAATATGCGCTTTTTTCTCTTCGGGGTTTTTTGTTTTCAGTTCACACTGATCACTGGAATTACGCGGTCGGTCGTTCGTTTTTGGACTTTGTCAACAAGGGACCAGGCACCGGCCCGCACAACCGCACCCGCGGACCCTCATCATCAGTCAATAAGCAACGAAACCACAACTTTGAGGCTGAATCACTGTTGGGGCTTTCATTTGGCAAACATCGCACATTCCGCTCATAAAAATGCTCTAAAAGGTGTCACCAATCACGAACAAAAGTTTATTGTTCCCCCAAGTCAAACGGCTTGATTTTTGTTGTTTTTGGCTGGCATATTAAATGTTTTAGCTCTACAACCGTTTGGCCAATACCTATAAAGGAAACGCCAAAAAAAATGCGCCGGAAATAGTTTGCCAAAATACAATATGCTATGGATGACTCATTAGTGGAACTTTACATAAACTAACCAAGCATTCATTTTGTTGAAAAGTGTTATAGAAATGAGCCACTTTGAAAATGTAATAATAAATAGCTCTGGACTGATGCTTAAATAATATTACATACATAAATATTTCTCATACGCCAACTTTCGTTTAGAATACAAAATTTGGATATTCAGTTTCAATTTAAACTTTAAATCGATTATTTTGATCTGCAACCCTTCAAAAGCCAGGACCGAAACCATATTCGATAGACATGAAGTATTTATTTGGTATTTTATTGATGTATCGCGATTGTGGCGTTTTATTGTTGGGTCACACTATCATTCTTAGGGCGTAGCTATTACTGAATTGTTATTTGTTGAATACCAGCATTAAAGTGTTCAAATAACAAATTTAAATCATACAGATTAACTAACACAACAAGGCCCCAACATGCAAGCTCAGACATCGATCGCCACGCTGCTACTGATCGCTGTTTTAGTGAAAGAAGGTACGTTCCAGACCTCGTTGAATCATAAACAATAATAACAGCAACATGTGAGGTGCTCTTCCATTTAATATAAATATTCTTGTAAATTTAGGATCCGCAATCTGGTGTTACCGTTGCACATCTGCGACGCCTGGTTGTGCGGACAATTTTAATTGGCGAGGTATAGGATTTCTGGGCGAACAATGTCCGGAAAGCGACGACGTTTGTGTGAAAGTAGTCGAACGACGAGGCGGTGAGTAGAATGTGGATTTTAATTGGGGCTCGCTTTGTAAATTTATTTGTTGATTGTAGCCAAGGAAACCATAACACGGGATTGCTTGAGTGCGCTCAATTTCCGTACGGATATACCTGCCGACAAATACGAAGGTTGTCGTCCAGCCGCAAAGGACGTTCGTCTGGCACATTACGTTAATCATACTATTAAGGAGCATGATGTGAAGCGCGACTACTTTACAGATACAACATTCTGTTTTTGCTTCCTCGATCACCGCTGTAACGGAGCTACTGGGCTGCAGAAATCTGTCCTAGCCCTAATCAGCGTATTTGCGCTGCTGTTCTGCACTCAATAATCCGCAATCCACGCATGCGAGCTCGCAATCAAGTGGTACCAAAGTGCCTTAAAAGTGAAGAAAGTATGATTATAGTTCGAATCTCGTGCAGCCTTTTTCCGTCCACGCATTTTATAAAATTTTTACTTTTGTATTAGTACTTTTTACAATACATTTTTATTATATAACAAATATTATTAGAAATCATTTTATCAATCAATTGCAATTTTTTGTGCACGATAATCGTAGCTGGCCACCTCAGGATTTGCTGCCGCGTAATCAGCGTAGACGTGCGCTAGCCGCAAGCATTCGTCCACAGATAGCTCGAAAGGACGAAGAGTATCCTGCACATCAGCTTGGTGGAAAAGCATTTGTGTTGCTTCCTCGCGACCATCTGGCGGAAATAACGTGCTAAACCCTCGACGACAGTATTTTTGACGCATGTTAAATATGTGCCGCACCACCCGCTCCACTAGCTCAAAAGGCAGATCCGTCTTGGGACGTTTCAACGGTATTAATTTAACTACACCAACGTCCACCTTTGGCTTGGGCACAAACGCTTTTCCCGGTATAATGAACTTCATGACCGGTTCAGTCCAAATCTGCGACATAACCGAGAGTCGGCAACGTTGCTCACTGCCCAGCTGCGCACAAATACGCTCAGCCACCTCCTTTTGAAAGGTTAGTGTCATGCAAGTGTCGTTGCGACGAAAGGCACCACGACGAGCAGCTAAATCCGCATACCAATTAATGAGTAGGCGCGTCGAGATGGAGAATGGTAAATTACCGATTAGGTGGACACGTTGGGTAGTGTCCGGTAGATGCTGTTCAATGTTAAATCGCAGAATATCCGCATGGTATATGTCTACCTGTATTTCGAGAGGTTGAGCGCACTCTCGCAACAGCTCCAATGTTTCTGTGAAGCGCGGGTCCTTCTCAACTAGCATCAGGCGCTGTGGCTGTCGACGAAGTATCGAACGGGTAATACCTCCAGGCCCAGGTCCGACCTCCAACACAACATCGCGCGGATCTATGCGACCCGCTGACTTAACTATCTTGTCTGTGAGACGCTCATCCATAAGAAAGTTTTGACTGAGCTGTTTCATGGCCTGCAGCTTGTAGAGTTTCACCAAATCTCTTATGGTGGGGAGCGGAGGCAGGCGCATGCCACTAGTAAGTACCCGGGCAGCAGCTTGAGGCATCTGTAAAATTATTATAATTACAAACAGTCCAAGTAGAGGGCTCAAAGCTACTCACATTGATTGTGCAATGATTTCAAACGAAGTGATCAAATTATGAAAAAAAGCTTATCGACTATAGCGTAACAATAAAAGTGTAAGAGAAGGTCGAACTCAGTTGGTGTTCACCTTCTTCGGCTCGTCAAAGTCGTCTAAGAACTTCTCTTGTTGCACTGAGAATATGGAATATCCGTAGATGGCAAGCACCGAAAAACCCAGAGCTCCTGCGGTAAGTAAGTTGTTGCGACGCACACGTTTTAATTTCTGAACTCGATCCAAGTTTTGCTCCTCAATGAGTTTCATGAATTCCAGCTGTGATTTTCCTAGTTTCGGCGCGTTCTCTGCGTACTTAATTTTGGGTCCCTCTCCCGACGCCGACGACATTATACGTATTTCCTGAATTTCCGGCAAAAACAATTATGAAACCCACATCCACATGAGTGAAACTTCTTAGTGTGACCGAATTGACGCAGTAAGAAAAGAATAAATTTCTTGCGAAACAGTGTTTTTTTTTTCTTTTTATATTTAACTGTCAAAATATTAAAAGTGGATTTATAATTATATTTCTTGAAAGTGTATTTTTATTCACATATAAATTGTTCAAGTTTTGGTACTCTTTTTTTTTACAACGGTCACACTACGCATTACACTCAACGAACACCACTTCGAGCGTTAAAAGTAAACAAAAAATTTTTAATTATTGTTTTAAATAGATTTAATAAATAAATATATTACCGGTTCGACCTAATGTAAAAATATAAAATATTTTTCATGCATCTCAAAAACATACAGAATTTACCATACAGTTTGATCTCGAACCACTGTTCAGCCGTTGACTTTGGCGCACTTCGCAGTCGCAGTCGCTGCTTAGTTTTCCTCTTATTGTAGCGCTGTGCTTGCTTTTCAGTTCCATTTTGTTGGTAGCCCGAGCAACGTGAAAACTTACTAAGCGTTTTTGTTTCTGCTGTTGAGTGCTACAATTTTACAAACAGCCATCAAAGTGGGGGCAGGCACTACCGAGCAAAGACAGCTTGGAAATAAATTAAAGTAATTACGTACATACTATTTGCCAGTTGGATTTCCAAGTGCGTATTTCATATCGAAAATTAAAATTAAATGTTGAAACGTACATACATACATACATATGTAATTTATATACGTATACATATATGCATTTTAAGCTAAAATTTTATTTCCGCAAAAAAAAAAATATTGTTCAGAAAAATTGTGGTGTCTTAAAAAGTGTTCAATGCGGAATTGAAAGAAAAACGAAAACTAACTTGTGCCATAACAAACTCAACGTCGCTGAAAGTGTGAAAAGTTAGTTAAAAATTTAACCAAAATAACAATAACAAAGAAAAACAAACGCGTAATTGCAGAAATCAGCTGTGTACCTAAAGTTCCACGTTTGTACACACACTCATACATACACACGAACAGCGTAGACAACAAAACAACACACGCTTTGGTGCTCCACTTGAGCCAAGCGCCCCGTGCTCCCCTCGCGCAGCACCAACAACAACAGCTGGTCGCCTCTCTCAGCAACGCTCTCCGCGACGCTTGCGTTTGCCTTTATTTGGATGTGTTTTTGTTTTGGCTTTTTTCGAATTATTCGTAATGCTTGTTGCGGTTTGGGGTAGGAACGAAGAAAGGTGGAACATTTTCATAGACTTGGAAAATGCGCAACACATTTTTGCAGTTCTATAGCTGCTATTGAAAATTGCATGAATTGATGAAAACAAATTCTCTTTTACAGCCAATATCGAGTGAGCTGCCAACTAAAACGTGTTTCGTAAACTGCCGTCCGTTACACTTACACAATACAAATAATAATTATACAAAATAAAATAATACAGCTAAATTTTGCAATTTACGCTGAAAAAGACAGAATTCAATAATTAGTGCATCCAAACCTATAAAAACAAAGCTCCAAAGCACACCAAAGGGCCAACAACCCGTGTCAATCATCAATGGCGTTCATTTCGAAAGATTGGCGATCACCTGGTGAGGCGTGGGTTAAAACCGAGGAGGGATGGGAGCGCAAAAAGGTACTCGAATGCGTCGGCAAACGAAAACGGTGAGTTGACACAATGTGGATTATTACGATAACAAATGACAATGCGAACAAAATCTCTGAACAATAGACATTTTTGAATGAGGTATGGGCATGTGTAATCTGCCTAATATTATGTTTATAATATGAAATCGTAACTCTCGACCGAAGGTGCACAGTGACGAAGTTACAAAACTGAATAATATATATGTATGCATATATGTACATACATTAATGCCTTAGTTAGCAGGACCAAAATATTAATTTTTTATAGTAGATATACTCGTATGTACGTACTACTTTTATGTACATGATTATTATTTAGTTTTTTGCTTATCATGCCAATGTTATTTTTAATAATACTGCTGCAGATATCAAATATGGAATTGGGCACTACGACAGATCTCAGATCTGTGTATCTCTTTTGGTTCTTTAGACTTATTTTTGTTTTAAGATATTAACAAATCATATATGTATATGAATGTATGTATTATACATATGAAATAATATATTTTTAAGTTTAGAATAAATTGTATGAATCGCCCAATTTTAATAACAAAAATTTAACTATTTTATATTTCCCTTAGAAGAAAATCATATCATATACACGTACATATTTTAGCAGTGTCCCAATATCTATTTACAGCGCAGTTCGAATTCAGTTTAGAAATGAATAATTCACTTTAATCATCAGGTTCATTTAAGTTGATTGAAGGCTTGTCGTAGCATTTGATTGCAGAGCGCAGCAAAGGGGTTTATCTCTACAAGCTGTCGAGTAGAAAGTTCAAAAATAAGGTTCTTAGAATTTTCCAAGGGCTATATAAATTACCTGTTCCCTAGCAAATTTGCTACCTAGTTGCGCAGCTACTTCAAAGTCTTTACGGGCTGCCTCCAAATTGTCCAGTTTTCTATATAAAATTCCACGTTGGCAATGGGCATGACACTTGGTTTTTAGTTGTTCATTTGCCAATTCAATGGCTTGATTTAAGTCCGAAAGTGCATCTGAAAATAAGTGTCGTAAAAAACTATTTTAAAAGCCATTTCTACATTCGAATGCTCATATATATTTGAATATTTTCGATTCAATAAAAGGCACCCCTATCCAATAATCATTTTTTTATCTTCCATACAGAGTAATTGCTTTCTGTATAATAAATATGTAGTAGTTTCTAACCAATCAAACCCATACCGTATGGTATTATTAACTTTCACTTCTCACCCTCATCTCGTTTGACCAAACGCAGCGCCTGCGCTCTATTATTTAGTACTGAGGCTCGATTAGGTGCCAACTCTAAGGCGTCATCGAATTTTTTCAATGCCTGCTCCAATTGGCCCTGTTCTGTGAGATACACTGCTTCTAATTCCAATTCTCTAGATGCTTTCGTTGCCTCGGTTTGTGGTTCCACATCGACCAGTTCGGTGACATCGGCTGGAACAGAGACATCGCCACAGGTAGATGTAAGCTCCAATGGATTAAATATCGAATCCAATACTTGTCGGTCATGAGCACTAAGTTTTAGATTTGCTTGCGGCATTCTTAAAGCGTCTTATCAACCCGTGTTTCAAGTGCGAACTAAACCCAGTTGGTTATCCAAATCAAAATACTAGTAATGTTCTATGCAAATCACCTTGTTTAGCCGGTTTCTGAGTTTACGCATACAGAATAAACAATAAATCTGTAGTAAATATTATTGTTCAATATGCACTGTAAGAAATAGGTATTTCGATATTTAAAAACCTGAAATGTTATAAAAACAATTCCAGTTTCATTTCATCACCACATATTATACATAGAAAGGCATTATTAGTTAAAAAATCAAGTTATTCGTAATCGATCTTTTTGCTTTCACATCCACTTAGTTTGATAAGCCTTCAGCCAGAATATAGTTCACAAAACAAATGTCGGGAATGAGTCACAAAACGATGGTATCTCTAATTGCGCCATATTTAGGTGTTTTTAAAATTATCTATATCGTTCACTGTGAAAGGGTTTCAACTACATACATAGTCATGATGCTTCCCATTATCGGTACTTATAATAGATTAACCATCTAGATTTAATTTTATCGATGCATTTTTGGATCATTCTCCAAACCATTGTACATACATATATGGCAATTGGGAAATTTATACTTTTGCTACAACAATATCAGTCCCAATTGTTGCTCATCCAGTAGCTCTTTCGATAGTTCAGCTTATTTACATGCGAATTAAAAAGTCGGGTTTGCTTCACCGATAACGTCTATGCATAGGTTCGTTAGCCACTGACCCGCGATTTTAATGCCATGAACAAAAAAACTAAACACTCGATTTTGAAAGAGCAAATCATAAATTTCAATGGCTTGCTTATAAACATATTCATGGGCATTTTATACCGGAATAGGTTTTTCTGTTGTGTGCTCTTTTGTCTTTTTTTTACTCAACAATTATTGTGTCGTTTTTATATGATTTTGTTTTGGTTGCCTCAACTTTGCACTTGTGAAACCAAAGCTACATAGCTTTAGCTTTAGCTTGGGGAAGGGAAAGAGAGGTTAAACAATTATCCAACGATTTGCTTTGTTCAAGTAGTTTGTTTATACATAGATCGTTAGTGCAAGGGAAACTAAACTCGTAAATACATACATATATATACTATATGTATGTATACGCTCGTTCAAACTTTAAAGATACGTGTTTATAGCGGCTTAAAATTTTGGCATTGAAATAATGTTGCATGGCCTGAGTAACTTCTTTAAAAGACTTTACCATTCTTTCGTTTTTTTTTAGCTATACTTGATCAAATCAGCCCCAGATAATGGGCGACTGATTCGTTCGTATCGATATTTACATACCTTATCAGCGGTAAAATAAACCTTTCAAGGTTAACACAATTACACAAGTAGCTCGCCAGCAGCTCAAATTTTGAAAATTAAGAGATTCTTTGGGATAGTTTGAAATTATTTTTATCATAGCTTAGGTGATCAATTATAAATATTGTTTTCAAAAATCTCCATAATGAAATCTCAAGTCAGTTATACGAAATGGGTAACACTAGTAACACAAAAGGAATTATAAAACCATTCAATTCCTGGAACAAAAAAGATACCCCACAATAGGGAAACGAATGCAATAGTGTTTTTTTAATCTCAACCTTTTTTATTTTAGATATTTATACACGTATGTAATTAAAAAAACGAAATCATTTTATTCTTAAATATAATATTTTCAGGTTGAGCAATCTTACAATTCTATCCCCTTTTATTAACTTAATTTTGTTGCTGTTAAAACTCTAGTAATTATTATACATACATATATAGTTTTGTGCTTTGTTCGTTTAGGCCAAATTTATTGCCAATTAAAGAGCAACAAAGTTACGTTTTATTATTTCCATTCCCAATAAAGGTTTTTTAGTCTTGTCATTTATTATTTATTTTTGCTTTCGTTTGCGTCGCTCACAGATAAAAGTCGCTCGCAATTATCTAGAGCTGTTCAAAAATAGCGCCCAAGACAAAGAAACTGTAGCGAGTCTCATTTGCTGGTGTTGTTGGCAGAGCATTGCAACCGGCGAGGCAACAACTTCGAAAAACGGAGACTCAACCTGGGGCCTGGTACTGCCTTCAGACCATACCCCCATGTCGACGACCACGTGATTTTTTATATGAGTATAAATCACTCAACGACGTCACCATCTAGCGTTCATTTACCTTTCTCTACGAAAATTAAACAAATTAAATGTAGAGCCACATGGCGCATACTCGTAAAGATTGGGAGTTGCAGCTACGGCCCGATCTTGAGTGCGACCGCAATTCGCTCTGCTATTTTTAAGTTTGTGTGTTTGACCTTTTTTCGACACGAATGCGCATAAATTTTTCTAAAAATGGGCACCGCTAGGCGAAGAACGAAGCGGGCCAAGTCTTTAGTCTAATTTTAGTCAAAACACGCGTCGAAAGAAATAAAAGATATCACGTGTCGCTGTCCATCTTGGAAAAAACTAGTATAAGCAACATAGAAGAACACTGAAAGTATCCGACTTTTGATTATAGGATATGAATAGCTCGTCTCATTCACTTGGTGAACTGCCTTTTTATAAAAATAAAATTCGCTTCTTATAATTCCATCTGTAAACCTTTGGACATTCGAAGCTAGTGTATTCCAGTATAATAATACAATACTCACAATAAGAAAAAAGCACTTAATGGAAATGCTTGTATTTTATATTAATTAATCACAACTGATTAAAGTTAAAATGACTGGTTAAACAATTTTAATAAAAATTATGCTTATGAAAAATACAACCAGATAAACCGAGAGGTTAATTACGCACTTGTAATATCAATTAGATTGCTGAAAATTTTTAAATACAGGCAATTGCAATATAGATTAAAAGGACCATAAAAACATTGCTTTTAATTGAGGCTAGCCAGCCAAATTATAAACAATGATCACCTCATTAGTAATGTTCATAATTGATTTAATTCTGATTAAAGCTGATTATTTGGGCATCATAGTTGGTTCAAGTCGATAATATATTGAAAATCCTCCACGAGTTTCGTTTAATTGCAACACCTTATCCTATTCTTTAAACTTAAAGAGAATTAAACCCTGAATAAAGATGATTAGTGTTGAATTAACTGTACTTCTATTCAGCTATTAGTGGCGCCATCTATACCATCGGTGAGCAAATCCGCTACACACGCGTACCAGAAAGTTAACCCAGTCCGGTGTGTCATTACCGTTAGGTCAAACAAAAAGACGAAATCGGAAAAATGATTTCGCAAATGCATATTCAAAACTCATTTTACGCGCTCCGCGTAATTTCTTGCACTGCTTGGTGGCTTTGTATGGGTTTTGCTTTCGATTGGCCTCAAATGTTTTTCCCCGATAAGCTCCAGTGCACTGGGTGCGAGGAGAATTGTACGAGTATATGTCCATATGCAGACATATATATATAATATGTATATAAGTGTGTGTATCTATTAGTACCTGCGCAATAAGAGTAGAGAAATGATTAATGTTCATAATAAAGATACACTGTTCAACTGGAAAATGAACTTATCAGCAAACTGGAAGCTACTGTACAAATAATCGTTGCATTGTTATATAAAAACAAGAAAATTAAAAAAAAAAAAAAATTACATAAATCAGTATCCCTTAATATTTTAATAAATACTTTATCTATGGTCAAGCAGGCAAATTATTTGCACAAGAAGGCATCCAATTAATACTATATATAAAGGGTTTTCAATAAAAAAATATATCATTTTTAATCGGGTTGGTGATGTGGAATTTTTGTCCAAATGATTTGCCTGTCTGACCGTTATTTTAGATACCATCTTCTTGCGTTAATGAATAAATTTGGTATTTTGCTCAAACTGGTAATTGCTTGTCCAGAGCGTACCCCTTTCACACCATAGCTTTGTTGATCGGTGTAGTTGTAGTTATTGTTATACTATTTGATCGTGATTGTGCGCTGGAAGTGTGTGCGGAATAGTCGTACAGTGTAAAAGAGAAACAAATGTTCATCGGCCAGTGCAGTGAAAGTGGGCTTGTGTCCGCCTGTGCACTTTGATTGTGCTTTTTATGCAATTCGAAATTTTTAATTATGATTTCGTGCATTATCTAATGGCGGGGAATTCGGTAATTGAATTTTTAATTGAGTTGTGCATTTGCTTGGAACGCCGCCGCACGGCACCAGCAATGAGTTCCAAGTTTTTCAAATGTATTTCAGTGCACTTGCTGAGTTCGATTATGAAATGTTCATGTTCAATTTAGACATTGAAACAGAGCGTCCATTACGTATATGTACTATATTTATTTATAAAGAAGAAGTTTTTTGTGTGTCTTCTTCCGATGTGATTATTTATTTGTAAATTGTATAATAATAATTAGCTTCAGCAGCAGTTTATAAAATTATGTTATATCCAGGGCCCCACTACCCCTATACTCACAATAGAATTACAATAGAATTGCGCCTTTAAAATATTCAAATGTATTCTCATAAATCAAAAGTGTGTCAAAAGTGCGATATCGCTACTTAAACTTCTAGCACCCAAGCGATAAGCGACAGCATTCGTCTAACACTCATAACACATTTATTTGAAACCATAGGATAGGAACCTATTGAGTTAAACACAGCAGAGCGCCGTGGAAAATATGCTTACGGAAAAAGTCACTTGAGGTGATTTTTGACAGAATCAAAAGGATAGAAGGCATCCGAAAAAAAAACTAACAATTGTGCGCAGAAGAACTATTTTTGGCTTTTAGATAAATATTTATATATACCTTGGTATAAAGAAAAGGCGGAAGCATTTCGACTACAACAATAACTTACTTGGTAGTCGAGTGGGACATAAATTTTTCATAGAAATTCGAAAGAGTTCCGAATTTAGACGCAACCAATCACAGCTCGAACTCTGATGACAGGTTGCCCGACCATTGCAGTGGAGCAATGGGACTTGTAGTGATTGAAGGTAGGTGTTGGGAGAGCAAATTTCTCTTTCAACAAATTGCGCATTTTAATTTCTCATTATAAACGCATTGCAACCTTGTGCCACTGAAATGACTCCAAAGCTCCGAAGGACGCGTTGAGCCGTACAATCGACTGCAGCCTGCTTTCCATACCTCCCCCCAGCCTTGGAAACTTTAACCGCAAAGCTGAACTCACGCAAATGCGCAACTCGAACACACACACAGGCACAAAAACCAATTTTTACAAACAGATGCCCTTACTAGCGGTGGGCGCTAAACTCGGTCAAGTTTAGTCAAAAGTATGCCTCTCTGTCTGATAGTTTGTGTGTATATATATATGTGTGTGTATGTGTGTAAGCATGCGCTGGCAACGGCTTTAGTAGCTCAAGGTTCCACCTCAATTCCTATATTATAAAACTTCAGTTTCTGATCTATGGGAGAGTGACATTTGCGGAAAATATGTTTTCTCATAATTTAATATTAACTTTAAAACGTTTAGCCGACAGAAATAAAGTTCTTCTTCAAACGGTAGTCGAATTGCACTCTTAGAGGTTCATCAAAAAAACAAAAACTTATCCTTGTTTGAGCTGGAATATCCTGTATTCCAAATATATATTATGACGAAGTTTTAATCGACTCGTTCGTGTAAAGAAAACAATGCTATAAAACCATTTTAAAATTCAATTTCATATTACGAATTTGGCAAATCATTAAGAGAGGCGTAACTACAGCTTAATTCCAGGAAAATAATCCATAATAATTTATTTATTTATTTAGAAAATCAACAAATAGTGCTGTCGATACAAAATATTCAAATATTATCATATAATATTATAAAATAAAGATATTTAATAACACAACGTTATAATTTCAACTTAAAAGATAAGAAAGCCTATGAAAAAACTATACAATAACGTCTAATAATGCCTTCGACCCGTCGGGGGAATTTTATTTGCCATTTGGCCAGCCATATGCGGTCAGAGACATTACAGTGTTTGTATGCATATATTTATATATATAAACTACAACTATGTACATATTCTCTGTATTTAGTGAAATGACCCGGGAACAACCAGACGAACAGTTAAGGAATATATAGATAGAAAATTTTTTATTTCATTTAATTCCACATTTACGATATTTGCAAACCTTAATCGCGGTCCATTTAATCCATGTGTCCATGTAAGATATCTGCTTTCTGGAGACTCATGTAGTGGATTACATAGAAGATATAGATTTTAGTACCATAAATAGTTTTACTATCACTAACTTATCTGAGGAATTTATTTGCACTGTTGAAAAATTCGGTTAAGTTCAAAAGCTTTGAATTATATTAAGGTACTCGCAATATATATTTTGCTGAAACATCCTGCAAAATTTAAAACTAACAAGCTTGTTCTCATTTGTTTCAATGAAATTGTGCAAAAATGGCAATGTCTAAAATTATTTAAATACAGTCATGTACATATATTTGTGTATCTGTGTGTGTTGTGCACAATTGTGGGCTCGGATGTTGTCCAATAAAAGTGTTGACCTACTTTTATCATCGAAGCCGCCAGCCATGCTCTGCCAACTTTCGCCAGTTTTGTTCTACTTTTGTCGCATGCATGTGCTCACATCTTTCACTTGGCTGAGCTTGGCACTAAGTAGGACGAAGAGGTCCTTTTGTTTCATCTTGATGATGCAACAAATTGTTGCACAGTCCAACATCACAGCAGCCAAACAGCTGTGTCAGCTCTCAGCTTGAACTTAACGAAGTTAAAACGCCTTAATCGCTTAGTTAGGGAACCGTTCATTTAGCTAGGTGAAGAGACCACAAGGACATGGTACCAACATGGCAGGCACCTGCTTCAGTTTTGGGCTGCCGGACAGGTCGATATGCCTTGACCATTCAGAGGTTGCTCATATGGCGAGGGTGTGTCCTTGAACGTTTGCTTTTCAATTTCACATTAAACTAGGTCAGCCCACATGGTTTTAAATACGTGTACACACATACGTACGGACATACATAAATAGTCATGTTCATATGATAGCTCACATTTTCCTAATTGCCTACATTTGCCCAGAGTAATTGGCTTTTAATTGCCATCGCACCAAACCTCAATAAGTGGATCCGACTATTTTGACAACATTACAAGTATTATTAATCCTTTTAGGGCCATCAGACTAGCTGATATGGCACGGAGCTATGATAATTGCATAGGCAGACTACTGAACGAGGGGGTCTAGAAGAACCGAAGCTAGCACAACAAATTGGGGAAAACACATATTTTGAATTTTCTATTCTTTAGAAATTACACGTTTCTTGAAGTTGAATAGCTTTAGTCTACTACTTGTAGTTATCATCAATAGACTTCATGGTCATGTCTAAATCTGGCGAACATCATATATGAAGAAGCAATACTTTCTATGGCTTCCATTGTTTTTGACCAATTGGATTATTTTTCATGTTTTCATCACTTAGACGTCATTCATTGTGTTCCCCGTCTTAAGATTATTATCAAATTTACTTCTCCAGTTTTCCCTATCATAAAAAGCAATTCTGGATTTTCTGTCAATCCATTGATTTGTTTGGAAACATGGATAGAACCATGTTTCATTATTGCTCATAAAATGCTTGATTGAAACATCTTGGTGGCGGTTTTTTTCTTCCACTTTAAGTTATATAGTTGCATATATATTTTCTTAGCAATCATAGTACTTTTTCGATCAAATTCGATCCAAATTTGATATCTGAACGTTAAAAAAGAATCAACTATTATTTTGTTTTCTTAACAATGGGTATTCTCCGAATGTTGATTATTTATGAACGTTGATAATTTCATTACAAATCAGAGTTCAGTTCCCACATAGTTGTTGCTGCACCTCTCACCAAATTGCAAACATTCCACAACGTCCAACATTTTACAGCGAACTTAAATTGTTTCCACACCCAACAGTCACACACAGACAAACACCATAAACCTCTAAGCTTCCGCCTCTTAAAAAGCAGTCCACATTCGCTTACAACAACTAAAAAAGAAAAACTTTAAGCAATAAACACCAAACACACGCCAAGTTTCAAATAATAATTGCAACTATTACCCAATTCGAAAATTGCCAGACCGACAGACACAGCTATTCGGACAGTCAGACACTAACGTTTCCCAACAACAATTTTGATCACTTGCTTCATTGCCAACTGGATATGTTTTTTTTTTTTTATTCATTTCATTTCAGCCATAGCTCAGAGGGGAGCTACGACGACTCAGTGGTCGCCAGTGCGGAGGAAGCGGGCGGCATGCCGCCACACTGCCACATCACGATCCGTTGCACGCGTGAGATAGCCGGTTTCAATGGGCTGACCGAGGCAGTCAAGCGGCTGGACTTCCGGCGCTCCGTGCGCGATCGTAAACGTTTCCACTACATATGCGCATTTCTGCTGCTGGTGTCCAACAAGGGCATAGCCAGTTTGCCGGGCAGTGCGCAGCGCCAATTGCTTCAAATGGTCGAGGAGGTGGCCTCCCATGGTAAGTAATGGCGATTGTAATTTTAATCTCTTTCGATTGAGTTAACTAGATCATTCGATAGTCGAAAATGCTTAAAGCTGTGCATAATCATTCCCTTTACTACATGTTTCCGCTGTCATCGTTCCTGTCAGAGCATCTCAATATTTTCGTCCAGCCTATCTGCAAAAATATACTTCATTTTGCAAATCAATTCATCAGGGATATACTATACATATAGGAGTTATAAAGAATTATACAAATGGACATAGTAAAAACTTATTGTGGAATGGAGATAGCGGAAACTTGTGGTGGAAAACTCACTTCCATTTTACGCACTCAAACCATTCAAAATGAAAGCACCTCTTGCACTGAACCTTATATTTAAACGACTTTAAATATTTAGTACAAACTTTAACTCTCCCATCTTTGAAATTGCACAGTGAACGACAGTCAGCAACATCCGAATGTACTGCGCGGCCTGGCACTGAAACTGGATCATATTGTCAACCAAGAAAACCAAAAATGCTGGGGCAAGCCACTGGGCAGCACTTATCTATGGAAGGAACACATGGCAACGATCAAACGGATCCAACACGTGGCTAGTCAAATCGAGATTAAGGAAGTGAGTTGCAATGTGTTTGCTTCATTTCACATTTCATCACATTAAACAATAACTTCATATTTAATTACAGCCTGATCCGAAGGTTCGGCCAAAGCTGCACGAGCTGCCCGAGGAATGTGTACGGGAAATAATTCTCTGTATTGCCGATCATCGGGATCTGGAGTCGGCTGCCCAGGCATGGGATACCATGGCCAAGCTTGTATCAGAGCAGCGCATCTGGCGCGAACTGACCCGTTTCCACTTCAATCAACGCCAGATCAACACCATACTGGATCTGGACAAGTTCAAGCAGATGGGCGAGATCAAAGACTGGAAGCAAATCTATCATCAATTGCGACGAACCTATGGCGTAAACGAAGACTATCAGTTTGCCGAGGTGTTGGCACTCTGTCGCTCCTGCTGCTGCCTCTTCTGGCCGTCCGATGGGCACCCCTGTATTGTGGACCAGAGTCCCGATTACAAACAGCGCGTTGAGGAGGCGGGCGGACAATTGGCGCTTGCACAACCGGTGCCGCCAGCACAGTTCTTAAAGTATTTTTCGTTGTAAGTTGGACCGGACATCATGGAATGCAAACTGACCAAGGGAGAGAGACAAAGAGATACATAGATATTTTTAAAGCGCGTTGTGAAATGAATGCATGAATTTGCTGCTAAACATGGGAAGGGTGAGAGAGAGATTATGATGTGGTGCTCAGATAATGATGCCGATGATGCGGATGATGTTGACACTGTTTTAGGCGTATGAGAGTTTTTATGTGCATGTTAAAGTTTTATCGGGGAATAGAAAGCAAAGTGATAGAGTTTTAAAGCAAAGTACTTGTTTGTCCACAAGAACGACATTTCTAGGTTCTATACTATTTAGTTATCATCATTAAGCGAAAAGATCAAAACATACATTGTCTGACTGTTCATACTCTTTTTATAAAAACCAACAAGCTATCGAAGATTATCAGTTAACTCCCAGTAGTATTCATTTCTATCAGATTCCATTTACTTGTCAGAAATCAGAAGGGTCTCGAGATTTAAGGAATAATATTAGAATCCCAGTCTTTTCCACCAAAACATTCTTAGTCAACCAACTCGAGAGCATGCACATGTCATAAATGTATGTTTTTAAAGGAAGCTTCATGAATTGTTAGTCATACATCTTTTAAATTTGTGTTAGAATTGGTTTTTGACTACAGGAAAGCAACAAATTCACATGAAAACTCCGTTGAGAAATCAACAAATGATAAACAAACTGCCACACAATACGAAGATTTTGTCAGCTTAGTCAACAACAACAGTGGAATTAAATATTGTCAAATGAAGAACTATTTTACAAATAAATTTAGTTCACATAACGATGAGTTTGCATATGAAATTTTATTGTCTATTAGCGTTTAAGTGTAGTTTGTTTGTAGCAGCTGCTTTTGGTGCTATTTTAATGAGTTGAAATCTCCCCTGCCCAATCAAAAACCAAACACGGAATATCAATTTACAGTTGATGCTAAAATAAAAAAAATAAAGCAGAAACAAAAAAACACAAACAAATATCTTTACAAACTAAAACAAAAATCATGTGATGTTGCAAAAAACAAAGCTAGAAACGAATACACCTTCAAAATGATTTAATAAATAAGAAAAATTGAAAGCCAAACGGAAAAGTAAAACATATTGAATACAGATCGATAAATATACACATATATATATAAGAGAGTTAAAATCCATGCTTAATTAAATAAATTACGGGAATCGAAATAAATGCGATATGTTGTCATAAGATAATAGAATCTAAATATATTTTAAAATTGGTTACATATTGTTTTAAACTGTTTTAAAGGAACAACAGCACTACTTCAAGCAAAAATGAAAAGCAATCTTCAATATTAATTTCAAATAAAGTCCTGGATTTGGCTATCGATGTCCTTGTTTTATGTGAATTTTGTAAAGTATTTCAATTCATTGGTTATTTGCTTAGGTTTAAGCAATCAGAGCTAAATAGAATATTTATATGTAAATACAATATTGAACTAATTCATTTGTATTGTCTTTAGTCAGAGAAAAGACACAATGCTTCTTTGAGAAAATAAAAATAATTACTATCTACTAAAGTAAAAACACTTAAATAAATAAATGAAGCTAACAGAAAATACATTTTAAACGTTTATGCTGCTATGTGTTTCTTTTTACATCCCCATAAAACTAGCAAACCTCTTTTGGTTTTTTCGACTCTTTAATATAATGAGTAAGCTACTTACTCGTTTTTTATGTCCATTTAACTCGATGTTAGGGAAATGGGTTCATTAATCAACAACAAGAAGTAGGATTGTTAATTTTCAGAATACAAAATTATCAAAAAATATCTGTGTTGGGCGATATACATATATATGTATGGGTATCTGAGAACCAGTGCCAGTACTACATATTTCTATTTGAGGCCAGAGACTGATAAAAACAATTACTTTGACTTGTTTTGTTTTTCAAACCTATACTTGAAAATTCTTTAAATTTTTTAAATTGAAATTTAGAATTAGTTTCCTTCAACATGTATAATATTTATACAACAGTCTATCCAGCTATATTAACCAACATTTTTGGCTTAAAGCCGAATACTACGTAAAACCCTAAAGGGGGGTGGAAGAGTCGACAACGTTGCCAACCCGAATCGAACCCCTTATTGATAAAACAGTTGTTGCCCTGATGGTACTCAGCCAAGTCAGCTTATATGCTTATACATCGCAGTTAAAATTTTTAGTTGATTTGATGCAATGGAATATATTTATAAAAAGGAAAGACGTACGTTTGGGGCACGTGTCCATTTCGAAGACAAAGATGATGTGGTGTTTAGCGAGAACTCGAATCCCGAGATGGTGAAGAATTTTATTCTGAAAAACCCCGTTGACCGTGTTACACAATATGCGGGCCAGACATCGCTCAGTGTGGCCAATACGGAACGTGCAACCTACAAGAGCACTGGTATTACCCACAATGAAGGAGGATGGCCCAAGGACATTAATATGCAAGATCCTGAACAGACGGTGCGCTACAAACGCAAGATCGAGAAGGATGAGAATTATATTACTCAGGTTATGAACCTGACAAAGCCAATGGAGCACTACATTTACCAAAACAATGCAGTCAACATTTACGAAAACTACTTTGAGAACTTGGATCCGGCTCCTTTGCCAGAACCATGCAAATCCCGTACTGTAAACGTCTATCGAGATCCCAATCCTATAAAAGTCCCAGTTAAACATCTGTCTTGGTCTCCGGACGGTGGCATAAAAATAGCGGTCAGTCACTGTGACATGAAATTCCAGGGCGACAAAATCGGTCAGAAGTGTAGCTCCTACATCTGGGATGTAGAAAACCCAAATGAACCATTTCTGGCCCTGGAACCAAAGGTGTCCTGCGTATGTCTTGAGTACAACCAGAAAGATCCAACAAGCCTGGTAAGCGGCATGTACAATGGTCAGGTGGCTGCTTGGGATACGCGTTACGGTAAGAATCCGGTCATGATAAGCGAACGTGAGGTTTGTCATCGGGATCCAGTTAACTCGGTGCTGTGGAACAACTCAAAGAGCGGAACGGAGTTCTTTTCTGGCTCGTCCGATGGCCAGGTTCTGTGGTGGGATACGCGGAAACTGAGCGAACCGCACGATCGACTGCTTATGGACCCCGTTAGAAGTGATGAACAAGATTTATCACGCTCATACGGCATCTCGGTCTTAGAGTATGAGACTACGATACCGACGAGATTTATGACGGGCACAGAAATGGGTATGTTGTTCTCGTGTAATCGCAAGGGCAAAACGCCGACGGAGAAGATACAAATTAGGGTAGGTGGCCTTGTTGGAATTCTCATCATTCAAAGATCACTTTGCTTAAAAATTTCACTCCAGATGATGTGCCACCTTGGACCCGTTTATGCCATAACCCGAAATCCGGCTTTTGTGAAGAACTTTCTAACCGTGGGGGATTGGTGTGCTCGTATTTGGTCCGAGGATTGTCGCGAAAGCTCTATTATCTGGACAAAGAGCTGTTCCTCCATGTTAACAGATGGAGCATGGAGTTATACCAAGTGAGTGAAAATTCGATTTTATGGATGCTTCGAAATTGTGTAGCTTATAGGCTCACACATTAAACCTCAATATTGATCCAATAAGATAACTTTTGTATACCATATGTTATACAGAGGAATAATTTAAACCATATTTTTTGAAATTCCCACTCTAGAGTCTCGCAGTTCTTCATAACTCGTATGGACGGTGTATTGGACACCTGGGATCTTCTCCAGCAGCAAAACGAACCGGTTCTAACCGTTAAAGTGTGCGATGAACCGCTGAATTGTGTAAGAACCAATGAGAATGGTAAGTTCGTCAGTTGTGGCAGTCAATTGGGCGCAACTTTCTTGATTGAAGTCTCTGACAACATGGTCATGTCAGCTAAAAACGATAAGCCACTATTAACAGCGGTACGTATAATGCTTCTCTTGCGAATATATTGCACTGTATTGGCTTTAATGTCCTCTAGATGTTCGAGCGTGAGAATCGCCGAGAAAAGATTCTGGAAGCGAAGTCTAGAGAGAGCAAGCTAAAGGTGAAAGCCACTCACGGTCAGGATCAAGCCGATTTGACGATGTTGAATGGAAAAGTGAATATGGCGCCCTTCGCAGCCATTTGCGAGCAGGCTGCCAGTGAATACTTTGCCGCTGTCGAACAGGAACGCCTGCGACGTCTGCCCGGTGGAAAGCGTAGGTGAACGTTAAGCTGCAACCTCTTGTGGTTCTAAATAGCCTAATTTTCTTTTTATTGCAGAGGATGCGGAGGAGGTTGATGTCTCTGAAGCCGAAAACTCAAAACTGTAATATAAAATGGTGTTATAAAATAAAGAAAGAAGGAAGCAATATTATAAAAATAAATCGTTTAAAAAAATAATATATTTTGGAAAGCGATTTTTTAAATGCTAGAAATTTATTTAGCACTACAAATTACGTTACACTGTATATACGGATTATGGTCAGGTCGACTATCTATATTTTTTGTAATTAAACTTCAATGTTTACATCACAACAACTATCAACAACACAAAGGGTGCACTTGGATTTATAAAAGGCTAGCCCAAGGAAGTTTATGATCCTTATACAACTAACTGACATATGGCACCTTTGCGCCATATTTTTGCTGGCGATGTAGATTGGCTTTTCTGTTACTTGAACCAATAAGGAATTACTTTCCATTTATCTTTATCAGATGCACAACTGGACACGCTTTGTACAATTCTTTTCGGGATTTGATTGATTGATTGATTTTCCGATTGTATTGGTTTACTTTCTCTCAACTGTATAATTACAGTTCTCTATAACTCCATCTCCGGGAAAATGCCTGCCCACATACTGCTGTGAGTCGTAACAAAGCTTGCCCGACTGGCAATTAAATTTCCCCCCCACGGGTGGTAGATTTTGCTTTTTTTCTTCTTATGTAATCTACATAATTACCTATTAATTAGAATTCAGTTATTTCCTATTTTCCAGACTTTTGTAAGAATATTTTTAAAGCGTATCGTATCTTTTAAGTTGGAAGAATAACGTAAAGCACATTTAAACCCATGTCGACAGCTCGTTATAAATAAATACAGTGCCGAAGCTTTTTTTGGGGCCCATAAGTTAACATTCATTACCAATCAGAACAAAGTATAACGGTTATCATTCATATTTAACTAAGCATACTTGACGTCTAAGTACGATAGTTTACTACTTATTAGATAATAGATTTAATCTAATCTATATAAGTCTATACCGATTGGTGATCAACCCAGAGCCGAAACAATAAAATTAAGGACTCAAGTTTTGTTTTATTGTCTAGGTGAGCACTAAAAAGCAATTTTGGAATATTATAACTCCGATTAACTTTAACTTTTCATTGAAGCGTAGAAGAAATAGCTATGAGCGTCATTTATACATATGTATATTAAGTATTTGCATTATACATAAGTCAATGAAAGATATGTCTTTGCCAAATTGTACAGCTTTTAACTGTTTTATTTCTTGCCCTGAATATCACTATCATACTACATACATACGTATTTCTATGTACGTATGAGCATACATAACATTTATTGTACTATGTGCCCATGTGCCCTAGTTCTCGGAACGTACCAAAACCTGCTAGTCATAAATGTTAAATTTTTTATCGAACGTCAATCAGACTCTTAAATAAAATTGATTTTTGAATGTAAGTCATTCGTGCTTCCTACTTCTATTCGTCGATATAACAAGGTATTATTTATGGTGCTTATTAACAAAGTGACTGATATTGTTAAATCAAAAACATGATAATTTATTAAGTTTTGCAACATACACGTATGTACATAAATAAAAATGTATGCTTGTTTGTTTTTTTGTTGTTTTATTGTATTTCTTATTTATTTCTGTTAACTATTTGCCGCACTTATTTATGTTAAATTCTTGATCCTTTTATTCACATTTTGTAATTTCCAAAATTAGCATTAAATAGTTTAAATAATTGAATATTTCGAGTGTAATAAATTCAATTTCACATAAATATAAATCATAAATCTTTTTAAGAGAGAGCTTAGGTCATTTCATTTTGAGATGAAATATGTTATGAAGTTGTTGAAGTTTTGTGAATATTATAATGTCATCCAACACTGGACAATGAGAATATGATACGAAATCTCATAAATTTTTTAAAATTTATGAAGTAGCAGCACAGCTTACCTTGATTTAGTATTTGATTGACTAGTGCATGTGCTACTTATTTAAGTTTGTAAAGTTATCATTAATTGCATTGTTAATTACTTTGTAATGACTAGTCACGGCAGTAGCAAAATTTTCGCAATTCTGGATCACGCTCGTATATGCACTTCGCCTGGTCGCCGTACTTATTGACACGAGAGATATCCGTAAGTTTCGTTGTGGCACTGAATGTGTGCAAATTGTAGGCGACACTCGCCTCATACAGCGCTTCCCCGGGCTGCGTGACAATTTGCAACTGATACATTTCCTCGTGAACCACCGTCTGGCCGCTCATATCGGCCAAGAAGCCATCCTTGTCGCTATTCGTCTTAAACTGCAGCAATTCTTTGTGTGGCTGCAGACGCAAAGCCCAGTTTACCTTCTTTAGTGTCAGCTGTGCGCAAAACTCCCGACGCGATTCTGTTGCCGCATTAATGGAGGTGATGATGCTGTCCGCCACTTTTATGATAATGCCCATATATTTAGTATCGTTCAGCTGTAAGGGCAGCCAATTGAGGCAGGCACACCAGTGCGGTTCTATGTAGGCATCGGCACAGCTTCGATTGCTGGGAATGGGCTCGAATAGTGAGATCGCACGTCCGCTCGCCAGCTTTGAGATGTGTATGGACGCCTTATTTGTCTCCGTTTTAGTGTCCAGAGTGCCGCTGTCGTAAGTGGACTCGGCTGCAAGCTCCTCAGCGCTAGCTGTTTGTAATTCTAAACGAGCATTTGCAGTAAATTATAAAGTTCAAATTTTATCTGTAGACTAAGCAGGCTTACTTATAATGTGCTTGAGCGTGGCATGTATATCGAATGGTGTACTGAGGCTCTGCTCGTTTGCAACGAAGTTGTTATATTCCTTCGGAAAACGTTTCTTAAAGGACTCGGGAAATGTAAAGCTGAAAAAGGGTAAACGTTCCTCCTGCTTGCCTTGAAGTGTGGCGCGCACCTCCGCAAATCTGCATTATACACTTTAATCTTCAAATCTTATACAAATAAATCTAAACTATTCACTTACCGATTGCCGTGATCTGCCATTACAATCAGTATAGTATCATCCAGCAGATTTTTCTCTTTTAGCGCCACCAGCCAATCGTGAACGTCATCGTCGGCTGCACCGATTAAGTTTATGGAATCGTGCGATAAGCCGCCGTGAAAACTGAAGACAAAGCGGGGTGAATCCCGATATTTCATCATAAACTATTTGGGACGGATGGAACATTTTGAATTCATCGAATATTTAAAAATCAATGGTACTCACATTTTTTGTGTATTCTAGCATAACCATATGATCGGGCTGATGTCCTACGCAATTAGGAGGGCTGTCACTAAGCATATTCTGGGCTTGCACATAGTAGGTGCGTAGATAATGATCCACTGGCTGTTCTTCAAAGCCGTTCATGCGATACGTAAATGTACCGACATTGGGCAAATCCTCATTGAATGACGTCATGTACCCCAGACGCGCAAAATCCTGCCAAATCATTGGATACGAATCAACGCTCCCCGAGTTGGACATGCGCTTTCTTGTCTCGGGTAACTCCAGCTCTGTGTACCCTGTCAGAAGGGGCACCAGTGCCTGGGGCGTGCCATCGCCCACTATATTGTAGCCCTGCAGGACAACTGTGCCAAGCTGTTTTAAATAGCTGTACGTGCGCGGCAATTTGCGCAGAAAAGCATTGCGGCTAAGCGAATCGAAGCCCAGCATTAATACGTTGTAAAATGCGGCGGTGGGTACATCCTGAAGCTGTAATTGTTGATGAGCTTGCGCCACCGCTTCGGGTGGCATCACGGCAAGGTTCGGTGCAAAATTGGCAGCAAGTGGGCGTTGGACAGTGTCGCGTATGCCAAAAGCCATACCAAACCAACTAATGAATAATAAACGATTAAAAAATTGCTTATCTGCGTTGATAAATAATGTTATTTTTTTTAAATGCTTTTTTTATATTACCTCTGTCCATCACTGGCATGGCAAACGACCTTAACAAAATCGCTTTTTTGCAGCACATAGGGTTCTTTTAATTTTAATGTACGACCAAACCGCACTTTATAGTCAGATTTTCGTATAATATCTGTATAGGAACATGTTATATCGTCATGACTAGCACTGATTTCGGGCCTAACAAAACATATAGATTTCTGAAAAAGAAATGTAAACAACATTTATTTGAATGTCCATCGCGTACCCATATATACCCGTATATGTATACTTACCTCACACATAATCCAATCGAGCCCATCACCACAATTTATTTTAGCAACTTGTTTGTAGAATTTCATGATATCTGGATTGTCCAGCGCTAAATGGGGGCGCCGACACTCCCCTTGGTTCATTGGCGAGCGTATTGATCGCTCAATAATCTTTCTGTAATATAAATACGTGGAATTGTAGGTACATATGTATGTACCTAGTACAAGGCTTTGTACTTGCAATCTTACATTTTAACGCTTTTATCAACATCGCGTTCCCAATTAAGCATACATAGGGTGATAACCAGTAGCAGTAAACATGTAGTCAATGCAATTTTTTGCACTATGCCCCGGCGTAATATCCGCATCCTAAAATATTCCGCTTTCATTTAAACAAAAAGGAATAACGAAACTAATAATGGATATTGGAGGCTGCACAGAACGTTTCTACCGAAATCACTTACATGATTTCCAGTTTAATTCAGCGTGTACTATAATTGCTCGATAAAACGACTGGCCGCGTATTCTCATATAACTGACTGTCCCGCGCGCATTACAAAGCCAATTTAAGCGCACAGAGCCCGCGTATTGTTTAATTTAAAGCGGCGGCCGGGACGGTGATATCTTTGTTTTTTGCTAATACCATTCACCACGACACATGTACATATCTTTTGTAAAACAGCTGTTTTATTTGACAAGCTGGCAGCACATTAAATGCCGTTTTTTTTTCAACCCTTTGTATTTGGGCGTCCGTAGTTAATGTGTGTTGTGACAAGATATAAAGTTTTGAAGTGAAACGCTAGAGTCGTGCGTGATCAACTCTTTGGTTTTAATATTTTTAATATTAAAATAAATTAAATTTTATTTGTTAGAAACTTGTTTTTCAAAGTCGATACGCAAATTTTAATCCAGTTTAAAATTATATTTATTTGAATCCAGATTTGTAGCTTAACATTTCAAATTTTATTGCCACTTGTGTGCATTAAATAATATATTCAGAATTGAACTAAATAAATTGACTAAATATATATATACAATTGAGCTAAGTAAGTATATGTACAATTGAACTATTAACCTAACTTATTTTATTATCTGTACAATTGACTAAAATTTACTAATTTGCTGGCACCACAAGCAAGTATTAAATTAGATCACTCTTTTGTCCATTCAGAGTCAAAGCAGCGCCCTCGAGCCAGTTTCACGGCCAGAAAGGACTCGGCAACAAGGATGTCCATTTATAGGTCCTCCAGTCCTTATCATCCTTAGAGTCCACTCGAACCAATGTTAACGTGCTGAGCGCTTCGCTTGCAGTGCAGGTCGAGTTCAAGTTGAGCTCCTTTTTATAGATCCCGCGATGTTCGTGAACAGTAGGTAAAAGTCATAAAAACCGATTTTACATTACCGTGTCTACAATTTTCCTAATGACTTTGACCTTCGAAAAATTTTCACGGAGCGGAATTCCCGCTGACATTGTCGACTTACATTTAAATATCGTACCTGAGTTCAAGGTTTATAGAAGATAGTCCATAAATTTGAAGAATATACTGCCACAAATATAGATAAAATTGAGTGCTACCTAAAATGTTGATGGTCACTTACGTACTTAAAATTAGTAATTATGTATGTACGTAAAGTTTCAGGGCGCCTACACTTGTAATCATACATGCATACATACATACCTTTACAACTTTACTTTACCATTTCAAGATCAATTTGATCTGCATTTAAGGATTATTTTGTATTTCAAGAAATGTATTCCTTTAACTTTTCATTTTATTCACAGTATTAAAAATTTACTTTTGAACAAATAAGGCAAATATGGCGGTCGATTAATTATACGCTCCGGATGTACATTTTTAAATTAAATTTAAAGTTATATTAGTGAAGCTAATTAACATGATAAGGTTTCGTATAATTTGCATAAATAGTACATATATGTATTATCCAGCTCATTACATCTCCAAATTTCAGAACATTAATTGGAAGCCTATTAATTTAAATAGATATTATGTTGTTATAAAACTTAAAATAATAATGAAAGCAATAAGCTAAGTCTAGCAGGTAAAACCAAAACCGAATGATTTGTATATACCATGCCGTTAAGCAAGAAACGGATATTAAATAAAAAACTTAAAGAACTAAATATTTAGATTTTGTTTTGGATATTTTAGTCCAAAAAATAAATATTTCAAAACTTTTTGATCATCAACAGGCATAAATTAATAAACTTTTTTGTAACCTGTGCTGTGTCTATTTTTACAAAATGCTAGTTTTGTAATCAACTTCATAACTATCGTAACAAAAGCTTATCTTTTTATATATTTTTTTCCTTCTGTCCTTTTGAGTTACTTTAAGTTTACATTGATGTCCCTTGACAAAACAGCTAACCTAATGGAAGATTTGATTGGTTATTGCACGCACAACTTTGGTAAAACCATAATTTTTTGCCTTTTTAATAACTATTTAATTACTACTAATGGCAGGGGTCAAAATTTTACAACGGCATTCTATTTTAATTTTAAAAAATTTATATATTTTCCAGCACTTTATTTTATGTTGGAAGCGTTGCCAGAATATTATCTACAAAATGTAAACAAAGTATTGCCATAAAACAGTTGTTCAGCGTTTGACAGTTTTCATTTGCTTAAATTTACACGCGGTAGGTAGTTGCAAAGCATTATTTCATTATATAAAATGAGCTACAAGAATTATTTGTAGTGCAAGTATATATTTTAGTGCATTCACTAAGTGCTGGTTTAAAAAGGATAACATCAAAAATAAGTGTGCAACAACAAAAATATCTCGTCAGCTGTGCATCTGGAGTGCGAATTACACTCGACCACAAAACAAGCAAGTGCCACGGAATTTAATGTTTGCATCAATCTCAGATAAAGTTAAACATTTACGAGTGTTTTCGAATAGTTCATCTTATTTGACCAATAAACAAAACACTCTGTCACTTCCAATCGGAACGTGCATGCAGCTAAGTTTCAAACCCAAAACATAACTTGTGTTGCACACTGTCGCCACTGGATGATGCCTACGTGACTCATGAACAGTTATCAATGGCGCAACATACAACAGCCGCCGTCGCGGTAATAAAAGTTCAGTGACCAATTTCATTGCAACAGCAACCCTTGAACTGAAACGTACGTCAGCTACAGGAAAAATTTGAAATTTTGTTTTCGAGTGACAGTAAAACTAATAACAATAATTATCAGTGCACACAGTACACGTGCTGTTTTTGTTCAATTGGCTTGTGGCTGCCACTTGATCGGGAAAGCGATTAAAGAAATTTGTAATACGAGTGAATGTATTGTATGTAATCTGACAAATACATACATACATACATAGGTGATTGATTGTGTGACTAACAAAGACAAAAGAATCAACAATTTAAATATAGCTACATTGAAGCTCGTTATCGTTGCGTTCGTTGTTTGCAGTATATTGTAAATACAATATTTGGTTAACTTCGGTCAAGCAGCGCAAACAAGCGCTACAAAAGCAACAAACAACTGAGGCGTAACGTCTCGGAAACCATTTGAACCTTGGCGCGTTTCGAAAGTTGCACTAAACGCTATTCTAAAGTGAAGGTAAGTAAAAATGAGTCATTTAGCTAACGATTCTTTGTGCTAAATAATTAAATTGATGCAACGTATATATGTATGTATGAATATATGTACATATGTACATATATGTTCATACGACCAGCTGTCTGGCAATATTTGAATACGTAATTCGCAATCTTATTGCGAGTCATTCAGTTAGGGGCTTAACAGCACCCGATCGCTTAAAATATTACATCGTTCAAATTTTAAAAGAAAAAACAGGTCCTTGGCTTTACCTCTGGCTTGCATGCATTCAGTCACGTAGGCCGGTCATTACCCGCCCTACATCGATGCGCACGAATTTTGTTTGTATTCAAACTTTTGTTTATTTTATTTATTTATATTTATTTAATTTTGAAACGATTAGGTGTTTTTTGGGGCTATTTAAACCAGGGCGAATAGTCAATAAATATCAGTTCTCATTGTTAATTTTCAGCACCAATTATTTTCATCATGTTGGACCTGATCCAACCAAATGAGCAGTTGCCCAGCTCCATGGACACCAGCAGCGATGTGGTCGTGGTTCGTGCCAGGCCCAAGAAGGTGTTTAAGCCCAAGGCACGCATCAATCGCATACCTCAGGAGCTGCTAGACGATCCCTTGCTGCAACAGGCTATAAATCGCCTACCGTCCAACTACAATTTCGAGCTACACAAGACCATCTGGCGCATTCGGGAAACAAAGGCCAAGCGAGTGGCACTACAGCTTCCAGAGGGATTGCTTATGTACGCCATGGTTATTAGCGACATCATCGAGCGCTTCACGAGCGCCGACACCGTAATTATGGGCGATGTGACCTACGGGGCTTGTTGTGTGGACGACTACACGGCCAAAGCGCTAGGCGCGGATCTGCTTGTGCATTACGGCCATAGCTGCCTTATACCAGTAGACCAGACGTGCGGCATCAAGGTGTTGTACATATTTGTCGACATCAAAATTGACCCACTGCATTTTCTGGACTCGGTGAAGTTGAATTTTAAACCGGAAGTGGGTCAAATAGCACTGGTTAGCACCATTCAATTCGTAACGACTCTACAGGCGGCAGCAACGGAACTGAAAGCTGTCGGATATGACGTGATAGTGCCACAGGCGAAACCCCTCAGTCCAGGTGAAATACTTGGATGCACTTCCCCACAATTGCCAGAATCGACACAAATGATCATTTATCTGGGCGACGGGCGTTTTCATCTCGAATCGGCCATGATTGCTAATCCGCAACTAAAGGTAAATGCAATTCCAATTAAACATTCAACCAAATATAAAATAGAAATATATAACAATATAAAAAGTCAATTACAAGATTGAACTGCATTCCAAAACAATCAATTAAAAAAAAAAAACGCTGGACAATTTTTAGAATATGAATATATGTATATTACTTTAGTTTTGTTTTCATATATTTAAAATAAATTATCGTTTAATTCATAAAATAGTTCGGGCTAAAGCATAGTCAAAAATTAATCTAAAATGCTTTCAAAAACAAACAAGTAACCAAACTGATGAACATTTACTAATATAAATATGTATAAATTGGATTTAATTATTATGATTGAACCCTTTTGTTCATTGCAGGCCTACAAATATGATCCATATGAAAAGAAATTCACCGTGGAACGTTATGATCATGTGGCTATGCAAGAGATGCGCTACTCGGCAGTGCAGCGCGCTAAGCAGGCCAAACGAATTGGCATCATATTGGGTACGTTGGGCCGGCAGGGTAGTGCACGAGTTCATAAATTTCTTGGGCGGCGTCTGCATGCCAAGGGCATCGAGACGACAACCATACTGCTCTCGGAGATTTTCCCACAGAAGCTTGCTCTGTTCACCGACATCGATGCTTTTGTGCAGATCGCGTGTCCTCGATTATCCATCGACTGGGGCTCGGCCTTTACACAGCCGCTGCTAAATCCTTACGAGTTGTCTGTAGTTTTGGGCGATGTCGAATGGACGCCACACAATGCCTCACCCCGAGCCAATGCATATCCTATGGACTTTTATGCCACCGGCAGCCTGGGCCCCTGGACGCCCAATTTCAAGCCGCCTGCCTTGGGCGAATGCGAGAACAGACCCTCAGCCGATTGCTGCGGCCGCTGCACGCGTGCAGAACTTGAAAAAGATGACACTGGAAAGGCTGCAGCTCTGGCCGATTTGCTGGACTTTAAGAAAGGCTAAACTGAACTGGTAGCCACTAAGGATTGATCCTTTGTGCTACTGCGTTATCCCCTGAAGCGTTACTTAACAGTTTACGTGATTTAGTTTAACAAAAGAAATGCTTACTAATTTTAGTTAGTACAAATTTTTTTAAGTTAAGATATTTTATAGTTTCTCAATTTTTGTGTTCATCAAGTTTCTTCTAAGTAATGTGTACCATATAGTTTGTTTTTAGATTTCTTTTCTAATGTGATGCAACTATTTTGCGAAGCGCAATGAACAAGTTTTGCCAAGCTTATAAACATTATATCATACAACTTATTTAATACAATATTAAACAAATATGCATAATTAAAAAACGTGGTTCTCAGTTGGGCTCACTAGCATTGGTGTATGACGTTCAAGTCATTTATTGTGATAGTCTTTAACAGGTTTGACAATTTTTTAATATTATGTGGTCATTTGGTTTATGTGAATATGTGTACCCCCAATGGATGTTATTTGTCCTAAACCTCTACGGCAAAGTCGTAGTCAGTCCAGGATGTAATGAAATAAATAACGATTTCAGCTTTTAAATTTCAATTCAAATTTTTATTGCAAAAATAAATAATTATTGCCTAGATTATATACAATTTAGCTAAATAAATTGACTATGTATATACAATTGAGTTAGGTGATTGGCTATGTACAATTCAACTATTAACTTAATTTAAAACCTGTACAATGAATAAAATTTACTATTACTATTTTGCTGGCACTACAAGCGGTATTATGATACAGTTAAATGAGCCTTTGGTCCATTTAGAGTCGAAACAGCGCCAACGAGCCAGTTTTACGGGTAGAAGATATTCGGCAACAAAGATGCCCATCTATCCTCATCCTTGCGAGAGTCCATTCGGAGTGATGTGAACAGATACAGCGCTTCGCTTGTAGTGCAGGTCGATTTCAAGCTGAGTTCCTTTTTATACATCGAGGGTCCGCGAGTAGAAGGTAGAAGCCGATTATAGAATTTTACACATTTTCCAAATCATGTTGACCTTCGGAAAATTTTCACGAAGCGAAAATTCCACGAAGATAATCAACAAGACGTCGGGTACGCGTACCTGCGGTTCCACATTCGGATATAGCATTCAAAAAATTAGCAAACCCGAAGAAATTTGAGTTCTACCTAAGATGTTGTGGAATGTCAGTTTTAAGACGTGCAAGAAAAAATATGTACGAATTTATTGGAAACAATACTAGTCCAATATCAATATGATTCATTTTTCTTGTGAACAAAAGAGGTTTTATTATTCATTTCTCACCTCTCAATACTTTCTTTATTTATCACTTCAGTCCTAGTTTTATATTTAAAAAAAATTAAAAATTAAAAATTAAATGCTATATTCAGTTGGATGATTTATTAATTTGTCGCAGTTTCTTTATGGTTTGAAGATTTGCCCTATAAAGCACCACCGGATTCTTTAAAGCAGGTTTGATGACCTTAATTTAAAATTGAAGGGTTGATTAAGTAGGTTATTTGATCAACGTAATCTTACTTTACAAACCTTGACAATTTTGGGAACTTTTCCGGTTTGTTCCAGTATTTGCCTCAAACTTTTGACTTCCCGTAGAAGGTTTTCGCGCTCGTCTTTCAAAAAGAACACCTCTCGTCTGAGCGCGCTTCTGTTAAAAAAGTCATAACTTACAAATAAATGTGGCTCAGTCTTTAGTTGGACGAACTTACACTTCGTTTTCCAAATGTCGGACATATGTATCACCTATATTGTCATCGGCTTTGGCATTATAGTTGATATTTAAACATGGATCAGAGGGATCAAGTATTTCTATATTCAAGTTCTCATATGTGTGGTCATTATTTATAAGATCATATTCTGACGATATTCTGTCTGACTGTTTGTTATCTGCTTCCAAATAATCGTCGTCATCAGTTGGTTTGAACATATCTTCTTGGACATTGGCATGCTTGCTGATCATAGAAGCTGGATCACAATAAATGTTTTCTGATAACTCTGTGGAGTTGTCTGAATTGCCGATACGACTGGCAGGTGTCCTATTTGTTTGGTTTTTGTGTCGTTGCGATTGCTTACCAGTTCTCCTGATAGTGGGATACGAACCGGGCTTAAGTTTGGTTGGATTTATGCGGGTAAAACCTGTAAAAGCGAGCAATGTGAACTTAAAGTGTTTTTGAGGATTAGCGTGAAGACATACCGAGCTCGTATTTTAAATTACGTTCAAAATCTTCAGCTCTAAAGTGTTCCTGGCAAATGCATGCTGTCGAAGTGTTTATGACGTCCTCGCGCATACAGAAATCGATCCATTTTTGCAAGTGAGGCCCATTTTTAGGAAAGTGAAAGAAGCGCCAATTCTTCTTGTTAGAACAACGGTTGCTGTTGCCACAATTGCTAACGGCACAACGCATTTTAAAATATCGCCAATATATACATATGTATGTTTACATAAAATGTAAACAAAGCATCAACCAGTAAGAAGAGGAATACTGTATCGGCTATCGATAACGCGGTGTTAGACAATGTTCAGCTGCCATCATTTGTTTTAATGAAAATATGTAAAAGTAAATAAATCCGTATTTACGTATGTACATACTTATGAACTCTTCAGATTCAATTCTTTTTTATTTAATATTTACTCGTGAAACAAAAATCAATGTTTTATACGATGAAAAAGTTTTTATAGCATATAAATTAAATGCATTTATGATTAGATCCGTTATTTAAGTCTAACTTAATGGTAGTACTGCTTTTTTGTTTTATCTATAAAATAATTGACTTACAATCTTTAGTCTTTAGTTTTTATAGCATACAAATTAAATGCATTTATGATTAGATCCGTTATTTAAATCTAACTTAATGGTAGTACTGCTTTTTTGTTTTATCTATAAAATTTATTTTTAAGTAATTTTTCTATCCTAAGACTGTAATTTTTCACTAAAACAAATTAAAATTGTATTTATTTGTTTTACAGGAATTTTTTGATGCGCTTGCTTTTTGTCTTTAGTGGAAACTGAGCACAAAGTGAAATTCTCTTTTCAGCTATCTGGCAATACTACAAGTACACTTTTATGCAGTCAGCTGTTAGACGCCAACCTGTTAATCCCATTAATTTATAAATAAATACTTAATATGCTGAAAAGTAGTAATTTAAATAGGTAATAAATATAATGTTAAGCGTGTTCAAATGTAAAAAATATCTTTTTCAACAGCGTTATTAACGAACTTGGCCCAGAGGCTTCCGCCGAAAAAAACGTACTGCAAAGTGGAGCAAATGAAAGCAACAACAACACAGAGCACGCTTTGTCCACCGACGCTGCTGGGAACAGTCTAGCTGCCTTACAATTGTCAACTGGAATGTTGCAAATTGCTGAGCCGCCGTTGGTTAAGGCGCGGGCCCAACTCAAGGAGTTAATGTATGTTTTACTTGAGTGTAATTATATTATTTGATTACTCATACGCGCTTTCTAAACAGTTTTAAGCAAAATAAGATCTATATTGACTTGTCGAAGGAGAAATACAAGCTGGATTGCACTGAAGTTGCCAAGTTGAACGAAATGGTAAATATAGCTGCGAAATTAATGTAGTCATGTTATAAATTGATCAATTATAAATCATTACTATTGATAGAAAAGAGGGAAATTATCATATGTTTCTTCTAGAACATAGAAATCAGCGCCTTTTAAAAATAAACCAAACTGTCTCTTTTTCCTAAAAGATTTATGTTCATACATATATGGCTAGCTACATATGTATGTTCTCCTGATATACATTTCAATTTATATCCATATGCGTCAAGTAGCTGCTCAGAAAGCGTGGCATCCTCTTTTAATTTCATTTCACCGTCCCCTACGCCTAAATTAGCTTTTAGAGCCTTCGGTAAATTGTCTTATTTGAGAAACCTAGTGGAGGGCTGTGTTTATAATCGTTAAAATGACTTCATATACATATGTTATTAAAATAGCTACTGCTGAAAAAGTGATTTCGGTTGTTCGGAGCTCGAAGGGGCGGGCTGTATTTTCCATTCAAATTCATCTTAAAAATTTACATTCATAAATAACATGATTGAAGCAACAACTTATACCCCTAGAGCTTCGTTTATTTAAGAGTATTGGGTTAACGACGTTATTATTGTTTTCCTCTCCTAATAAGAGAGAGCGAACCACATGAGAAATTGGAAGAACGAATAGACAAATGAAACGTCCATGAACTACATTTTCTGGTATTATTATAACTCTTGAAAAGCAGACGTTTATGATGTAGCCTTATCGAAAGAATTCTATCTTATACTCAAATTAAGTCACGTCGTGTCTACGTTTTAAAACGTAATGCTAACCAAGCAGCTAACATTTTGTGCAATCTCTGACCATAAATATTAAAGTCGGTCGTATCACTTCTCAACAAAGTTGCTAGGTCATAAAATAGAGGCATGTGCATGTATGTTTGCATGTTTTATACTTTACTAAATGTCAGATTATCTGCAGATGAACGATGTGAAGATCTACAAGGAGAAGCTAATTAGAATCAGAAAGGAAATGCAAAACATTTATCAACGCACAAAGGTTTTAAAGGTAATAAACAGAAACTTTATTGTTGCGTCGAACTGTAAAAATTATTAATAATAGCATACGTTTGCACCATTTAACTTTATTGTTGGTTCTGTTGCGATTATAGAAACGGGCTGCTAACGTGGCCACAACCAAGCAACGCGAGTATCAGCGCAAACTTGAGAAGCAACAGCACGAGGAGTCGCTTATCGCCAGCCAGACCCACTAGACGCTCGAGGCGTACCGGGTAGATATTTAAACACATAGCTATTTAAGTTTAAAAAAATATATAAGTATGTTATTCAAGTTTAAGAAGCGCATATGCATTTGTAATTACTCGACTAAAGTACTTTGGTAACAGGCATTAAACGCATTATTCTAAAACTACATAAAACTAAATTCATGTGTACAGAGAGTTAAAAATATAGACATATACATAGATATCCAAATTACTACAGAGATTATTAATAAGTGGAAAACGTCAGGATTAAGTCCCATGCATTGTAACTTACAAACAGTATAACAAGGATGCTTAAATTGTGAAAGCCTAGCCTACAACATGCCAAAGTATTTAAATATTGAAGGGATTACATATATTTGCATTAGCTAAAATAATAAACAATAATGTTAAACATTCACAGCGCCCCAAGAGCAGTATTTTCTTAGATCGCCTGTTTGAATTTGTTATGCATTCGATCTATCCACTGCACCGTAGGGTATACAATTTAGAATTTTTCACCTATATCAATAATTGATTCAGTTCAATCAATGCTCGTACTTATGTATAGTATGTATGGATGCAATAGCATGCGTTTTTCTTTTTGTTTTATCTAAATCTAAGTGTGTTACTAACAATAAGAGGTAAATAATACTTAATTAAAGCACGTATACAATACAAATATGATTATAACTAATAGTTAAACAATATTAAAATGTTCAACATGCAGCAGCGACAGCTTCTAAGCTGGTAAAAGTTGATAATTGTAGAACAACAGATGTGTGCGGTCTTGTTCGTTGTGGTTGTGATTGCAGTTGTGGTTCTTGATTTTCTTGCTGGGTGGTTCAAACGTCTTAGCTAACAATACTATACTCCTGTTCATTCAGCATGTGCATAGCATCTGTCGGTGCAAAATATTTGACAGTGCCTAAAAATATTCAGGAACATCGATTAGAAATATTCTAAAATAAGTAGTAACAGCAGATTATATAAAAAAGTTTGAAACAATACATTTATATTGGTTAAATATATATATGTATATATATCATAGATATTTAAGGTTGCTCTGGTTTATATTTTATAAATATCAGAGAAGGGAAGAATTCTTATTTCATTCTTTGTCATCAAATAATTTGGTTTTATTCACTTCATAATTTCAACTTATAGGAATGTTCAAAGGGTCGCTTAACTAAAAAATATATCAGAAAGAGGTAGAGTTGCAGGCACATTCATTATAAACGTTAACGATTTCAATCTACAATCTGACAATTACCAATTTACACACCTTCATAGGGTTTCTACATATTGCCCCACGTAACACAATTTCGGGATTGATAAGAATTTCATTCTTTTCTTATGTTCAGGCAGTAACTGTTAATTTAGATAGGAAAAGCTAGACGCAATTAACTTGTCGTAAAACAGACCTCAATGGTCTCCGAGTATAACAATAAATTTGTTTTCCTGAAAATATGTTCTTTTTCAATTTTTTTGCTTTCAGTATTAATATGTATGTTATGTGTCAACAATAGATTATTGCCTCCTATAAGAATAAGTAACATATTTAAATATTAAATCTCTGTTGTAGACAAGATTACAAATTACTATTTTTCATGATTCTCTTCATTATTATTTAGAAATTTGAACGTAAGAAGAGTACCATAGAGAACAAGTCTTCTTTTCTGTAATAAAATAAATGCATAGTTTTATTGTTACTTTTAAAGGAATCTGCACCTTCAATATGACTTGATGGCTGGGATATATGTATGTGTAGGTATATGAAAAAATCTTCTTTGTTTGATAGCGAGTCCTACAATTACTTGAATATTGTAGAAAAATCAGTTTACATATCTATATGTATGTATTTATGTTTCGACTTATGCCCACAAATCGCAATTTCTATTCGTATTTGTACCATTAGAACACCCCATGTAAGCACCAAGTACGGCATGCTATAAGAACATTTTCATAGAGTGCCGGACATCAGCTTAAATCTACGTCGCTAAATTCTTCATTTGTCTTATTGCTAGTGGGATTTGCAGTGTACGTTGCGTTGGGATGTGCATCTGAGGCGACCTTACCATTTTCCGCCGTGCCATTACGTTGCAGACACATCTGCACAAGGACATGCACGATAAATGCAATAAAGGCGGCTACACCAAAGATCTCGAAAGTGACGCGAGCACTGAAGGCCTCGAAGAGCAGACCAGCAATCAAACTGCCCATGGAGACACCGACACCCTCAAAGATGGCGCCCACCAAACTCTGCAAATGGAGATAACAGGACAATTAGTATATATGACAGATTATTAATAATAAAAACTCTACGATTAAGAAGGCAATATGTGTGTAACTCACCTGCATGGTGGCTTCAGTTCCTGGCGGTGCCACAATACTTGCATAGGAAGCCATAGTTGCGTAAAAGAGACCGAAAGTGATACCGTTGAGGAGCTCGATGGGAAGAATGTACCAAGGATTTTGCAACATGGAGTACAAAAGTAGGCGCACGCCGAAGCCAAGGAGCACCAGGCTCATGGCCTTGACATGGCCAATGCGCTTTAGAATCCATCCGGATAGAAAGAAGAAGGGAAGCTCTCCGCCAAAGCACTGAATGCCCATTACAAGGCCTTCTAGAGTTTTAACGGAGTTTTCGCAGCCCTCGTACAGCTTGTCTAGCTCCTCCAAATAGATGAAAAGGAAATTCCAAATAAGCGCTGTGCACAAACCAATGGCCACGCACCAGAGGAAGAAAACGACGCAACGCACAGAAAGGAACATTTGTCCCACATCCTTCACAATATTGTTTGAAAGATGCGTTTGCGTGTGCTGTATATTGAAGAAAGAAAATAAAAAGAGCGTGAAGACCTGCATGTGACTAAAGCAACAACATACCTTTAGTTTTGTAGAGGCCAGCATGTCAAAGCCCAGAACGATTAACGTTATCCAGAAGACAACAGTGTAGTCCTTCGTAACCTGGCCCCCAGACATCTTGTCGACGAGCACCCCGGCCAAAACAGCGAACAGTCCCCAACCCAGAGAGCCACACAGGCGCTGTTTCCCATAGAGGTGATGGCGATCGCCCAGTATGCCAAAACAAATTGCATCCCCAATGCTGACAACGACCGCCATGCCAATCCAACTAATGATCATCAAGCTGAAGAAGAACCAGAATTGCGGCAGACCCAGCGCACTGCGGGTGTTGATCACAGCGCTCTCCGATAGCTGATCCGTGAGAAAGTCTTCGTGGCAGTTCATGCTGCACTGGGCTTTAAAATACTGCTTGTCGCTTGGACAAAAGAGGGTCATATTCTTTCCATCGATCGAGCCCTGATCTTGCGGCACTAAAAAGTTGAGGCACGTGGTGCTATTCTGTTGTGTCTCTACAATATCGTTTGCATTGATAAATGCATTAAAGTCCAGCTGCGGATTGCTCCGATTAGCTTCGCAATTTTCCAAAGAGTTATTAAGCCAGTTCTGGCACACTATGTCCCACATATATGGCTCTGCCTGGCAATGCATTTCACAACCGAGCGTTCGATTGCCAAAGTGTGACTCGAGATTCTTTTCCACACAATCGCCGTACGGCGAACAGTACTGAACATTCGAAACACCGTTGTGGCAGTGAAATTCTACCATTGGCATTGGTTTCTCAAGTGCCGGCACAAACATGATCATAAAGAAAGCCAAGCCAGTGAGTAATTGGCCACCGAGGAAAAGTGTTCGATGGCGCTGAAACCTAATAAAATCAAAACATAGTATGTATATATATATATATATATATATATATATATATATATATATATATATATATATATATATATATATATATATATATATATATATATATATATTAATTATATGGGTAGTTATAATAAATGTTTAAAACAAATGTTATAATAAATGTTTTAATCTTTGAATGTTTTATATGCATTCGAAGAATTAAAATTAATTAAATAGCCTGTCGATTTCGTTCCTAGAATTGGCAAATACTCTTCGAAACTGGCATGTAACAATTAATGGCCCTAATGGCCTCTAAACACTCGACCAGAGAAAAAGAAATCTAAACATAGGAGAGCATGATATGAAGTTTTTGGTTTTAATAACAACAAAATTAATGGATTTTTTTAATGGTAGTGAATCCTAAATTTATTTCAAAAGTCCGGTTTGTGAGCAGTTGAGCTAAAACTAGCACGATCAATACGTTTTATAAAAGTTTAATGTTTATTGAGACTTTATATAGATTTTGTGTCTTACCGATCTGCAATATATCCAAATAACGGCTTCGCAAGCATACCAATAACGGGTAAAATTGTATACATCGTGCCCACAACAAGCGATGAGTAGCCCAGTTGACGAGCAAGCGTTGGCATAAAGGGCACAACGGGTGCAGTGCCTAGAGGATAAATAAATAGAGTTAAACAATATTGATTAGAAAACGTTGTGGACGTAAATAGTTCAGTACTATGTGGATTATAACAAAGGGTCAAAACCTGTTCAAAGATTATGCGGGATAGCAGTGTAGTCTAGTCCATGATTATATATGCACACAAACAGAAATATCATCGCATTCATTTACACATATACATATGTATAGGCATATGCATGTAGGTGGGTGGTATCTGCCTGATAAGCAAAGCATGCATGAGTATACTAAATAGTACGGCATGCAAATAGCCCAGCTTCGGGAATGAGATAGTTTTCTAAAGTTGAAAGATGTGCTTAACAACCTTTAGTATGTGCAGGTACTGTACTATACGTTCTTTTCCATTAAGATACATATGTTCATATGTACTATTTATACATACATATAAATATATGTACATAGACATTGGTATTTCGTTTATTTTGGTGAAGTGAATGTATGTATTCTTTTCAGATGTTAAACTGACGATAAGAGAGTAGATCTGAAAAGTTTGATAATGTTTTGTATATGATGGAAAATCACAAGTAAAAAGCGCAACTATTTGTAAAGGAATTTTGCCGTACCTTATATCAGATACATAAACACACCTATAAGGAACTTTACTTTATTTAATTTATATTCTAAGCAGTAGCAGTTACCAGATACATTAACATTCTACACAATAGACACGAAACACGTGCGTCCATCTTTCCCTCTTGCCATGCAATTGTGTCGTCATTGGCAGATGTATATGTATGTACATACATACGTATTAGTAATGACTATAATCACCGTATAATTACGAGTCGGATGTTCTTGTGTGTATTGTTTTATTTTATTTATTGTTTTATCGGCAATCGCACTTACCGGCATTAAAGAGAAAGTAATGCGCCTTCATAGGCAACAATTCCTTATCGATCTTGGCCTTCATGTTGATATTAATTGATTTCACAGTCTACAGCACGCACAGTTCAAAGTTTATATCAGTTCAAGCCACCTATTAGGACATAAAGCGGTATTCGTCGACAGAATCAATTTAAGCATGAATTTTCAAATGGCTGAAAATACCAGCGCGCGAGAAAAGAATAGCAACTCATGCACATTCCACTTCTTAACACGACGGAGCTTAGAATCCTTCGCGAAGAGATAAAAATGCACTTGCAAGCATAAAATATCACACTTATTATTAATGTGCAATCAAATGCATGTGATTACGCGCGCGTGTGTGTTTGTGGCGATCACATTTCACGAATGCCAATCAGAACTTGAGTATATCGTTAGCACGGCCCTGCTATAAGACGCTGATTTTTACAATTTTAATCAATGCTAATATTGGTATTTGCCAAAATTCACTATTAATTTGATCTCTTATTTACATTGAAAGCGATGCGTAAAGCAATAATGTTATATTGTTTTATCCGGACCTAGTGCTATGAACGACCTTTCGGCAAGAAACGCATTGTTAAACTGACTACACTTTTTAAGGGAGCTGCATGTGCTTTTCGTTCTTGAGGCTGTAAATTTGCTTTAGCCGCTTAATTGCCAGCTGTGTCATCATTTCTACACACTCTGCTTATCGCCAATTATAATAAATGTACTGCTTATTCGGTAATTAGTTCATATAATCTGAATAAAAGCATCGCAACTAAATCAGCTGTTCGAACAGTTGAAAGCCCACCGAGTCTGGTAGCACTGTCGAATTGTTTATGTTTTCACAAGCGCAATTGGCAACTTCTCACCGTGAGTGTTGTAGAACGACTAAAAACGTATATGAACGAAACATTTAATTTAATCGTAAATCCAAATATGAATTACAATGAATAAGCCAATTTTGTACGTATCTATGGAGTAGAATGTTTTAATGCTGCTGATTTCAGTCAACCACATACATATGTACATATTAAGCAACTTAATTTGACAATGACACTATTCTTAATGCGTAAGTTAACTATAATCATCAGCTTCAATCGTATATGTGGCTATAATGTTGTTGATAAACATGTATATAGTTTTCCCTCTCCTGCGGCGTCATTTGGGCAATCAGTTTATCATCGAGTTCATCCAAAGGATGGGGTCGCCCTGCTACAAGCACAGTTGGTACGTCATCATCATCCTCCTCTGATTCAGAGTTTATATAGTTGACGTTAGCTATTTGAAAGACAAGATTAAATAATATTTTAGTACAGGGCTTCAAATAAGATTGACAGTGACTTACGTATCTTTGTGTTGTCAATGTCCTTTTCATCGTCACTTGAATCACTAGAATTAGCGTTTGACGATCCCATTCGCATTCCTTTCAGATGAGCTTCCCGTTGCCCAGGCTGTTTTTCATGCTGCAGAAGTACCGACATGATATCTTCGTTCTCCTTTTTGTTTCGATGACCAGAAGAACTTGATGTTTGCGCTGCATCATGGTTTGATCCTACATCACCCAACTCTGAGTCAGTTATCACAGTGCTCTCCGTCATCCAAATGGGTCGCGACTTGCGCTCCACAACTGTGTCGGGCATATCATCTCCACCGATGGTGACATCGACTCGTGTTTCTTCAACGGCGAAACCTTGGTTTCTCGTCGCTTCGCCTGACCACTGCATGCCATCAGGGCGTATGGCGTTTGGCTTGGTAATACCACGAATTGTGTCAATGTCCACAGGTTCTGGTTCAAGCACTTCTGGTGCCAGCTTGATGCCCTCGACTTCGCGCAGTAGATCGTATAATGGCTGCAGCTGCTCGTTGAAGTGTGCTAACATAAGACGCGAATCTTTTTTGGGCATCGCAGCACTATCCTCGTCCACATGGCTTCCACAGTAGGTGCAACGAAATTCCAGTGTGGCTGGATCGAACAGTTGATCCGCTTCGAGGTCGGTGAAAGTTTTTGAGCACGTCGAGCACTTAAAGCTGGCACGACTTGTCGCATCCCGTTCTTCCGTTTCCATTCGTTTTCGCATCAGATCTAGTTTGTACTTGACGACATTTACAAATGTTTTGTAGTTTATAAAATAGTAGTTAACTTTCTGAGCTTTGCCATCCGGTCCCGTTTCCATTTTAAGGCGTATTTGTATAAATTTGTCAGTACGTAAGGTTGTAATGCGTGCGCGCAGCTGCTTCTTTTCGAAACGCAAAAGTTCGGCAATGTCGTCCTCTTTCATGCACGGGTTCCGCACCAGCATATCAATGATAAGAGCATCCTCCTGAGTATAGAAGCCGCGCACGACCAAGCGTGCGAGCTGTTTGAGGCTGCTAGGCACCTCAGTGACGTAGCGTACCTCGGTGGTGGATGGCGCATTTGATTGCGCGGCTGAGGTGGACGACATTATGTATTAAATACGATGAGTTCACTAAAAATATTGCTTATTGTAATAACTGTGCGTCATTAAAATCACGTTATGGCACCTGCTTTCTACAAAAATAAGCGCGCGATTTGGCTAAGCGCAAACGGTTATTTGCTTATGCCGCGATCGTGAGTATCCCAACACTTCTTCATTTGTTGTTACTTGGAAATGTCCGTAGGATGCGTTTTTGTACTTTTATTAATATTGCACTTTTTTCCGCCAATGTGTTTATTTTAGGGATGGAAGCCTTCAACGCTGGTGTCGATGTATCGGTACAATTATCGATGAGTTATCGTTAAGTGTTGATAATTGCCAAAGTCATATCACAAAAAAGTTAAAACGGTTTCAACGAAATTGAAATGTATGGTCATTTAATGGGACTTAATGTTTTAATTTAATTAATTTTTATGAAACTAATATTATTCATGTGCATGAACATATAACACTAAATAAACCAAAGAACGTATTTTTGGCATTAAATTAAATGAACTTGAAAACAATAAGTCAGCATTGCCTTCTTGAACTAAAGAATGGGACAAAGTTGTTCTACATATACACGTTCAACTTAATTAGATCCCTCCAAAATAAAACGGATCAAAATTGAAGAATGCATAATTATTTACAGCATAAAAACAATTCTACACATTTGATAAGTATTATTACTATCAATGAATAAAGCTTTAGTACCCGTTCTTTTGGAAGCCAATTGGATTACGATAGAGAGTGCCATTGGGGTTTGCGGTTTCGTTTACCTTGGCGATTGTTTATCCCGGAGAGCGACGACAACAACTGAACTGCGCAGTCGTAGGGAGTGGGAAATACAAAATAGTCGAAATAAAATGAAACAAACAGGGTTCTTCATAGTAAAGTATGAACTTCTGTTTTTCACAAGACTAAGCATTTTTAAAGGATTGGGTCCACGTATAATATGGTGCTTGTAAGTTAGAATTTATAAATGTTGGTAGAAAAGTATTCAATCAAATATCTAACGTTCCTGCAGAACCACCTGCTCGATTCTCTTGGGCTACGCCTCTGGAAAAAGCTTTTGTTTGCCAAGAGAAAGCATATCACGAGGACTGCGCGCGCAGACTGCGCTTTCGCTCTGACTCGCTCACCTGCTCTCTTGTGCATACCCCCATAGTACCGTTAGTGATTTAGAAATTCAGGCATCCGTCTCAATGCCTGCAGTTCTGAGTCGTGCGCGCTTACGTTCGGTTTTCCAATTTTCCGTTCACATTTTTACGGCGTCACATTTTTCACCAAACAGTAAAAACGTGCAAATAGTTTTTTGTGATTTTTTCATTCAATTTCAATTTTCGCTACAAATATTTGGCGTCGCCGGCGGTATAGGATTGTGTGTGTGTGTTTCGTGTTTGCGGAAGAACAACTTTTACCAGCGGTCACATTTTTTGTGCCTCGTGGTTGCGTGGTGGTTGTGAGATACAAACGTAAAAAAAACACGAAATGCTGAAGCGTATGCAATAATAAAGAAATAGAAAACAATAATAAAAGAAAATCGCGGCGCCGACACGTATATATGTACCTGTGTACATACGAACGTCATATGTAAAATTGATTTTTATTTCGTGAGCAAATAAAAAACAAAACAAACGGATACCTTAAAATCGCTTTGAATATTATACAACAAATAAGTGCTTTTTTGTCGGATCTATATATAATTTTTGCCAGAAGGTGCGTTTAAGCTTTTGTACTTATATACAATCAAATGCTGTCTGCTGTGTGTCAGTCTGTCAATCAGCCAGGCAGTCAGTTATTCACACACACACACACACACACACACACACACACACACACACACACACACACACACACACACACACACACACACACACACACACACACACACACACACACACACACACACACACACACACACACACACACACACACACACACACACACACACACACACACACACACACACACACACACACACACACACACATACACATTTCCATTCAGTCAACGTTCGCAGAAACGCACTTAATTATTCCCCAATCACCAATTGGGATAATTTTGTCACTAATTTGTCTAAATTTACTTAAATTTTCTTTTTTCGTTTTTTTTTTTGAGTGTTCTTTCTGCACGTGATTCTGTGGCTTTTTTGGGCCTTGTGTTTGCGCCGCCAGTGATGTTCATCCACCCACACGTGCCACCATTTTTTATTTGAGTTTCACTCGGTACCCAACCCCTGTGGGCCCCCTTGGCCCAAAACACTGTAAGCGGTGCTGCCAGGGTTGGTTACTCGTGATGTCATTTCAACAACATCTACATAATAATAATGGATTTTAGACATTCTGTCGCGACGCGCCACGGCCTATGTACTCGTATGTGTCTAAATGCATAAATACTTGTATGTGTGCTTGAGTGAGCCCTTTGGGTCAATTTCCGCTTTAATACCTGCCAGCTGTAGCTGTGTGCGTGTGTATTTGGGTGTGTGTTTTGTTCATTAGAAAAGAGCATTTTAATGGTCTTGCATCTGGTCTCGGCATTGCACTTCTGAGGAACGTCCAAGTCTTTTCTAGGTATTTGCGTGTGCCTCTAAACTGACGTTGTATATAGAAACAACAATAAATAGCACATTGTCGGACATAAATCAGGTCAAAGTTGCACAGTATGACCCAGATATGTGTGTAGATATGAAGGACTCAACACTAAAGCCCAGCTACCATGTCTTGCACGATGAACTACTGTGATTGGGTCCAAATGGATGTACAACATCAACTTTCCAATACAATTTTATTCTAAATTGAACAAAACAAATCATTTTATTTCTGAGATATTTTTTGGAATATTATTTGATTCAACTTTTTTGAAATTATATAAAATTAACCTTTTCCGAACTTTTAAACATGTGTTATCTATCAAAGACTAATGAACTTCCTAGATAGAATTTTCGGTCTACTTAGACATCAATCCATTTCATGACCCTCACACTTTCATGCCATTCAAAAAATGTGACAAATGTGAAAGAATAAATAATTCTCTTTTTACAAAATCGGTAAAGAATATATCTGTTCTTTTTCTTTAGTTAAGCTAAAGAGGAGTTTCCCTATCTTTATACATTATAGCATCTTGATCCAAAACTAACACTCGTAATTAGATTTTGAAGTTGATCACAATGGAATGAAATATGTTTGCTGTGATGTTGAAAAAAGTATTTACTGTGTTTTTTCTCTGTGTGATTACCTTCACCGAGAAAGTCGAACAACACCATATGTTTCCGAGAGAACATGTTTTCCTTTATTGATTTTTATTTGCATGTTACTTAGGCAGTTAATCTTAGATCAACCTAATACTCATACTCTTCTATTACTGCTGAATATACTTGTATATAAGTAAGTACATTCTTATGTATGTATGTACTTTGTATGTTCTATGTATATGTACACTACGCCACGAGCTATGCTTCAACTTTTCAGCTTCTTACCTTCGTGTAGAAGGGCAGAAAGAAAATTCAAACTTTCAAATTTTCAGCAGGAGTAGGTGTGGTGGGCGTAACAAAGTATAGGCATAACAAAATAAAGTCTTTCAATATGTTGGCTGTTGGCCTAGTCTATTTATAATAAGGCAGCTAGCTTGTTTATAGGTTCTAGGCATAATATGCTTCAAACTATTTGTAAAACACAAAAAACATTTACATGTACAATTGACTATTAAAATTATAACTTTTGCGTACATCTGCTTATAATTCGTAAGCTGAATTTAATCTATTTCATCTTTGTGCTTTGATTTACTGTTGAATGTTTCGCCTCAAAGCATTATTTAATTGGGGCTAGCTTAGTCGTAGTAAACGTATCTGTAAATCTGCATCTGCATATACTCATCTGCGATGCTCACAGCTCAGTTTTATATTAATATATGTATATGTATGGTGAAATAAACCAGAATGAACATCTGAGCAGGCAATAAACACATTTTAGCAGGATCAGAAATCGTACTTCTTCAGCGTTTACGAAGCAAAGTACTAGAAGTATGCTTGGCAAATAAGTAGCAAGAACCGTATATATTTTTCATTACAATAGATATAGAAATTTCTTCCGTCCCTCCGTATAAGCCAAGGCTTATTAGATTTGCATGCACATTCTTCTACGAGGGCAAAATAGTATTTGTTTCGAGTAGCCCGCACTGCTTAGAAAACAGTTTTTTCGTATAACTTATTTTAATTAATTAATTTTACATAGATATATTTTTCCTAAAATTTGTAATAAATGTTTGCAACTGGTATTGTTTAATTTCTATTGAACAATAGAGTAAAAAAAACATTTTGTAAATACATTATCACAACAATGAAACTCTCTTACTATCTCTCTTTTACCATTTCATGAAACATAAGCGTAGAATTTTTGATTTTGTCGAAGCCCTTAAAATATCACAGAAAATAAGAGTTAGAGATGACTAGGACTGGAGAAAAAATGATCGAAATACGGTCATTGACAAAATTTGACAAATTCACTGACGTTTTCCGTTTGTTAATGAGGCGGACGAACCAGTCGCTCCTAGAGGCCAATAGGCCGACAACTTGAAGCGCTCTCCAGCCGAGCTCTTTGAGCTTCCATTCTCGGAGTTGGTTCGAGTTTTCATTTGCTCGCGCTTTCGCGGTATGCTTATTGGATTTTCTATAATCGGGCTGCGACTGCTGCCGTTGCTGTTTAGCCGACTGTGTAACGGTACCATCGCACGCTTTAAATCGCTGCTCTGTGTCATGGCTGTTCCACATCGTGTCGCGTAGTCTGCGTCCGTCGTCCGTCGCCCGTTTGCCTTTGCCAACATTATCGATTTTGTTCTCGTTATTCCCAGCCCATTTGCGCTTTGATCCTTTGTAGTGCCCAACAATGTGGCATACAAAAGCACACACGCACGCACACACACGCTCATAAAAACCGTGGCTAGCAATATGAAGCGAATGTAATTTGTTGTTGTTCTCTCGATGATTTTTCTTTTGGGTTTGTTTTTGTTTTCTATTTTCCGGCCCAGCGACGCAAAGGCTATGCAGTGTCTCAAGTTCAGTTTTGTTTTTACAATCTAGTTCGCATTTTTCCTTTTATTGACACAAAGTCTAGTTTTTGTTTAAATCTTGCCAAAAAAATATGCGTTAGTAAGTTGTACTTACTTGGGAAATGTAGTATATGTTTTCCTTCTGAAACTGTGTAAACGTATAAAGTAGCTTTTAGAAATTGTAAATATTTGCAGAGTCTTTTTTGTAGCATTTCCACTTGTATTGTTTACGAATATTTTATTTTCCAAAAGATAAGCTGGACATTCGCACTATGTATATTATTGCCCGTAGACGCATGTAAAGGTCATAATGATTAGTCGTATCACTTTGCAAATATTTTATAAATAGTCTATATTATGCTAGATTTATTTGTAATGTTGTTTGAATGATTCAGGGTCATTTGTTGCCTTCTTTAACAAGAATCGTATTCATTTTATTGCCAACTCAAGCTGAGAGAATCATTCTTGTTGCAAAGTAATGGAGGTATTTAACTTGCTCTGTAAACTGTGACAGCACAAAAGGATTTCCCCCGCATAATGGCATGCCATTGTTTGTCTTGGGCACAAAATTCACATTAACATTTGTCGCACAACCAACAAATATATTGTATGGAAATACAAAGCGAAAACGTTGTTTCCTCTAAGCCGACATTTGCATTCTCTTCTCATATGTACTATTGCACACCCTTTATAATTTAAACCGCTTCAAAAAGATATTTAACTATAGTGGAAAATATTTAATATATATGCTTATAATAATAATACCTATTTTAAAATTTTGCTAAAAATATGAAAAAAAGAGATTAAATAAGAGCTTAAACGGAGTAAAAATTCACGCCTACTGACTGTGGCCCTGCAACTAAAACATCCTTTGTTTGAAATCAAGAACTGCGAAAAGTCACGACAAAGAATTCAAAGCAAACAGAACTGAGCTAAATGCGATGTAACGAAGCGAGCTTCCGATAAGGCGCTCACCTTGTGCTTCCAATTGGTGCTGCGGCATCAGGTGGAACAAACAAAGAAAACATATACATAAGTACCATGTGTCAACCAAATTGAAATCATGAGCTCGCGTCTCTTTCTTCTGCCTTGAATTGCAAAAATAAAATGGTAGCCTGCGTAAGAGTTTGTTGAGTTCGTTAAGTGACAAAGAAGTTGACTTTAGCACCTCATTGGCAATATAAAAATTTCAAAAATTACAGCCAAATGTGGTCAGCGACTAAAAAAAGTTACCTAAGAAATATGAAATAGAGATGAATAACCAATTCTAATTAACAGCTGCTTAGAGCGCTTTAGGAAAAAAAATAGAAGCAAAATCTTCAACCCGATGACAATCTATACGAGTAATCATCAATCCTGGGCTGAAATTTCTTCAATTCAACAGACAGCTTATGTTTTTTCCTGCCTCGATAAACATTTTTACAAGTTCTTTTAAATCCACCGCAGGCGCGCATCATCTCCTTTAAGCTTTTCTTAGTAGCTTGCACTACTCTTTTAATGTGGCATTCATAATTTGCATTTTCAATTCCATTTCAAAGGGAAAGCTTCTAAAAGCAAAAACAGACCATAAAAGAGTTGATAACTGCTCCAACATAAATTGTGAGCCACAAAGTTAGCTTACTCTTTTATGAATGCAACAGCACGTTACCTTGGCTCAGTTTTCAAGAAAAATAGCAGCTCCATCGTCGCCCGAAAAAATTACATTTAGCGCTGATTGCGATTATTGTTTGTTGTTTTTTTTTTCGGTATGTCTAACAATCGAAAGTCGTTAAAATGCTTGCAAACAAAACTTTTTATGACAGCGCCGGTAATCGTCTGGTTTACTTTTACACTTTCAGATAATCAGGCAATCACGTGGACGAGCGGGGCGGCGGGTGCACCACAGGGCAGCGGAGGAAGTAAACGTGATGTAAAGGAGTCCAGCGGATTAGGTAGAGAGTCAGAGAGAGAGAGAGAGAGAGAGAGAGAGAGAGACAGACAGAGAGAGAGGGAGCAATTGTGAGTTGGCGAAGAGGAGAGATAGAATTGGAACTTGTCAACTCTTTGAGCAGCACGGAAGAGCCCGGAAGACAAAGTGAATTTGTTTCAGCATACGATGTCATCGATCTCGGCGCAGGGTGTGGTCGAGAGAGCTTCCGCTGAACTGTCAAAGCGGATCAACGGTCTCGGTCTGCGTTCGAAGCATCACCACGGTGGCTCATCGTCCTCCCCTTCCCCCACGGGGTCCAATTCGTCTAATTCGAACACAGCCACGTCAAATTCCACGTCCAATGTCTCAACGTCCAGCTCCTCGTCCAGCGGCAAAACCTCAGTAATGGAGCGTGTGACGAACGCTCTCTGTGGCGGTGGCAACTCCAGCAACTCAGCGGCCACCAATTCCAATGCAAATGTACAGACGCCCGACAAACCATCACGTGGAAGTGTTAGCGTCGGACAGAGTCCTTGCTTGACTGCTGCCACCACTCCACAACAGACACAGCAACCGCAACAACAACAACAGCAGCACCAGGCGCCCCAACAGCAACAGCTTGCGCCAACGAGTCCCATTCCCGCCGCGCACCACACGACGACGGCCCACTTAATGCAACAACAACAGCAGCAGCAGCAGGTCCAGCATCAGCACCATCACCAGCAGCAGCAGCAGCAGTTGCAGGCTCAAATGGCAAGCTCCACGCTAATCAATTCGAACCATCACATGGTCATGGGGACACCAACACCGCCCGCGGGCATACCGCTGGGCGCACCGCCAACGCCCACAGTGAAGTCGATTGCCAAACAGATGAACATCATGATACCTGGCAACAATCCATCGCCCACATTCAGCACGATGGGCATGGTTGCGGCACAGAAGGCAACCGCCGGCGGCGGCACGCCCCTACAAATGCGCAAACAGTTACCCAATCCGCACCTGCATCATCCGTATGGTATGGCTGTCGCTGCTGGAGCACCGGGCGCCGCTCAGGTCTCGCAGTTGGCGGCCGCCGTCAACCAATCCACGCTCATACTTCACAAACACCCGCCTCTGATACAAAGCATCGATGCACTATTGCTCGACGACCGCTTCCTCAATCGATTCTTTCAATACTTTTCCCCGTACGAACGGCGGGTGCTAGCCCAGGTGTGCATCAAGTGGCGCGACATCCTCTACAGGAGTCCTCGCTACTGGTCCGGACTTCTTCCAACCCTACAATGTCGTGAGCTCCGCCAGATGCCTGGCTGTGATCGCGGCAAGCTTTACAATTCACTGATCCGTCGCGGTTTCCATGCACTGGGCCTGGTCGGCGCATCGGACGAGGATGCCCTCGATGTGGTACACTCATTTCCGTTGGCCTCCAAGCACATACACTCGCTCAGTTTGCGCTGTTCTTCGATCAGTGATCGCGGCCTCGAGACCTTACTTGACCATTTACAGGTGAGTGCCATTAAGAGTTGAAAGAGTAAGGTTAAAATGTATAATATAGGATAAAACCACAATTGGGGCCCATTTATTCAATTTCATGTTGGACGTTTTCTTTCCCACTTAAAGGGAAAATAGGTAAATATACCCCATCAAAGTAATCGGACCTGCACCTGAAGTGCTAAAAGGAATACTTTATATATGCAAAAATTATTGAATAGATTATATATTCGCTGAAAAGGGAAGGGCTCAGTAGGAGTAAAGTAAAAGACAATAGTCGCGGACCGCCGTGCGTCTGTTCGCTTTAGAGTTTTATTGGAGACTGACACTTTTGCTATACATATTCTTTATGCTTACATTCGTATGCAACAGTGACAGATAACTTGTAGATAACATAAGATTATTATCTGCTTATATTAACATGCGTGCATTGGTACTTATGTTTGTATTGATTTTCAACACCCTTCCTCAATGCAAACATGTTTTACAAAAATTTTCAAATCAAATTTAACAGCTTTGTAAAATGAACATGCTTCGCTTTAGGGAGATTTTTCGTTAAAATATCAGCTATCATTTCATTGGTTGATGTATACTGTAAAACAATTTGTTCTTCGTTTACAACCTGTCTTGCAAAATGATATCTAATATCAATATGCTTTGTTCTTTCATGGTGTACAGGATTCTTAGCTAATTGTTGAGCACTTAAATTATCGCCATGAAGAATAGTTGGAGTACTCGAGTCACCGCAGCCAATCTCCACTATAAGACGCCGTAGGTATATGGCCTCCTTACACGCAGTTGAAAGAGCCATATACTCCGCCTCCGTGCTGCTAAGTGCCACGCTGCGTTGCTTTTCAGATCGCCAGGATATGGGTCCTCCAGCCAAGTAGTATACATAGCCAGTATACGACTTGCGATCGATGCGGTCGCCACCCCAGTCTGCATCCACATAGCCGGTAAGGGGTTGTCCACACTCTTTGTAGTGCAACTTCAGGTCCACAGTTGACGCCAGGTATCGAAGCACATGTTTTACACCCACTAGGTGCTCTGCATGCGGATCTTGATTCCGTTGAGCTAACTTGGCAACGGAATGCAATATGTCTGGCCTTGTTGTAAGCGCCAGCCACATTAACTCGCCAATTGAAGACTGGTAGGATGCAATGTCAACCTTTTGACAATGCTCGCTGGTACATATCACTTGGAAACCAGCATCCAGTGGGGTCGCTGTAGGTCTACAGGTCTCGCATCCATGTTCACGCAATATGTCTTTGATGTATTGCGAATTGCTTAGCGAAATTTCGCCAAGCTCACCGTCGCGCTGCACTTCCATGCCAAGGAACAAATGCAGCTCTCCCTTGTCAACACATTCAAACGATGTTGTAATGGCTGACTTGATGTTGGCCAAGTCCTCTTTTGATCGGCATGCTATAATTATATCATCAACATAAACAAGGATTAATGATAAGTCACCTCTTCCGTTCCTTTTGTAAAGACACGGTTCATTTTCACATGCTACAAAATCTATGCCTTGTAGTACACAATCGAGCTTGGAGTTCCACTCGCGCCCCGACTGCTTCAATCCATATATTGCCTTTTTAAGCAATAAAGCCTTACTTGGATTATTGGGATCTGTGTATCCCTGTGGCTGCTTCATATAAACAGTTTCATGCAGGTCGCTATTCAAATAGGCGGTACACACATCTATCTGGTGAAGGTACAGCTTCAATTCCGCTGCTAACGCCAAAATAAACCGCACGGTTTCCAATCTGCAAACGGGTGAGAACGTCTCTACATAGTTCACGCCATACTTCTGGGAGCACCCTTTAGCAACGAGTCGTGCCTTGAAACGTTCGACTTTTCCATCAGAGTCACGTTTCAGGCTGTATACCCACTTGCAACCAACTGCTCGCTGATCTTTTGGTAAATCAGCCATCTGCCAGGTTTCGTTTGATTGTAGTGCCTGATATTCCTTTTGCATCGCCTCTTGCCAGAATACTGCATGTGTGCTACCAACGGCCTGATCATAGGATGTCGGAACCATTACGTCACTAGCAACCAATGCTCCAAGCACATTGTATTGCTTTCTTGGACGACCAGGTTTACCATTTCGAACAATTTTAGGCCGGCCTGGCCCAATCTTCACAGTATCCTCGTCAGAGTCTTCTTTTTCGACTGCACTCTCATATGCGTTGGAGCTGCTGTCGTCAGAACTGTGCTCACTGTCATCGTCGTCGATGCTTCTGTCACCATCCGTGTGAGTGACATGCTCTTGAACCTCGCATGCAGGAAAATCTACCGTAACGGTATCTTCATTGGTATGACCACCACAACGCTCATCAAATAGAATGTCTCGTTTTTCGACAATCGTCCTCGTCTCTGGGTCGTATAACCGATAGCCTTTGGCTGCTACCGAATACCCAACCATACGGTACTCATGCCCTTTGGGTTTGAATTTGCCTTTACGGGGACCCTTTGCAAGTGCAACTGCAATGGAACCAAAAACTTTTAGATGGCTAACACAGGGTTTCTTACCTGTCCACGCTTCCATTGGAGTCAGGTTGTTCAGTGCACTGGTAGGTGATCTGTTTCTTATGTATACTGCTGTGTTGACTGCTTCGGCCCACAAAGACTCGCCTAGGCCCGACTGCACCAATAAGCATCTGGACATCTCCGTTAATGTCCGGTTTGCTCTTTCCGCCACGCCGTTCTGCTGCGGAGTATAAGCCACGGTCAATTGCCTTGCAATACCATGGTGTTTCAGGAAACCGTTGAATGTTGTGTTGACAAACTCGCCTCCATTGTCGGTTCGAATACATTTGAGCTTTTTATCTGTTTGCCGTTCAACCAAGTTTTTAAATTCGACGAACTTACTGAACACTTCATCTTTCTTCCGCAAAAAATAAACAAATATACGCCTGGACTTGTCATCGATGAAGGTCAGAAAGTATTTGGATCCAGCAAGTGACTTCGTGTCGAATGGGCCGCATACATCAGCATGAACCAGTTCCAACAGCTCTTCGGCACGGTTAGTGCTTACCTTTGGGAATGGCTGTACATGTATTTTGCTTAGCATACACGTTTTGCAATTCAAGTTGTCTGGGAAAAAAACCTTTCCAATACCACGCACTAGCTCTTTGCTGATCACTTCCTTCAGACTGGTAAAATTTAAATGGCCATAACGCTTATGCCACAATGTACCATCTGATTCAGTTGCGGAATAACACCTATTTTGTTTGCCTTGAAACATATAAAGGTTCCCAACTTTATTCGCTTTCAGTATACACTCGCCGTTTTGTATAACTTTAGCAAAATGTGGCCCAAAATGTATAACATTGTTCTTTTGCACTGACCGGCTGACGGACATAAAGTTGCCATTCATTTTCGGTACATACAGTACATCTGACAACACCAAGGTACAAAGTTCTGTCTGTAACTTCACCTCTCCTCTGCCTTCGGCCTTCAGGAAACCAGCGTCAGCTAAACCGATCATTTCAGTGTGCGCAATAAATTTTGAAAATAACGTCTTATCGCAACACATATGGCTTGTTGCTCCGCTGTCCAGACACCACATGTTGTTCTCTATCTTTCCAACGTCCAACGCATTTAACAAGCTGCTCTGCTTTTCCATCTCTTTCTTTGTCGATTGCTTTTTCCCTTCACCGCGAATTTTCTCACGCTTGCACTGTGCCTTGTAGTGCCCTTTTTCGCCGCAGTTGTAGCAAACGACGATTTTTGAATTCCTTTTTGAATTCGCTTTGGAATGCGCGACGATCTGCTGCGTAGCTATAAATGCTCTTGCATTCTCGCTCTCTCCATCTGCATTGCCTCTGCGCTCTCCCTCTTCCATCAGCTTGATACATAACACATCAAATGACGGTAAATTGTCACGCGTCTCAATGGCGACGACAAAATTTTCGTATGGTTCGGGCAAGCTTGACAACAACACGATTGTTTTTAACTCATCATTTAATTCGATGCCAACTGTACACAAACCATCCAGAATTTCGTTAAATTCGTGTATGTAACTTGAAATGCTTTGGCCTTGAAACATGCGTTTGCCTAGCAATTTCTTGTACAGCGACACTTTCCGTACAGGTCCACTCGGCTGATGAACGTCCTTTAACTTTTTCCATGCCTCGTACGAAGTGTTGCAATTTTTAATGAAGCCCAATTGTGAAGCTTTTACACTTAGCGTTATAATTGCTAATGCCTTTTCATCTTTTGGCCTTGAACTCTCAGTATTACTAGGTTCAGCACCTGATGCCACACTCCACAATTCCGCGTGCACTAAGACAGATCGCATCTGTATGCTCCATGAGTCATAGTTATGCTCTTCCAATTTGTCTATTTGATATAGCGCACTCATTTTTTAAATGTTATATTTCTTGAGTCACCAAACGATTACTATTTCACAATACTTTGAACTTCTCCTATGAGCCTATATGCCCTGGGCCCATAACCTATTGAATAGATTATATATTCGCTGAAAAGGGAAGGGCTCAGTAGGAGTAAAGTAAAAGACAATAGTCGCGGACCGCCGTGCGTCTGTTCGCTTTAGAGTTTTATTGGAGACTGACACTTTTGCTATACATATTCTTTATGCTTACATTCGTATGCAACAGTGACAGATAACTTGTAGATAACATAAGATTATTATCTGCTTATATTAACATGCGTGCATTGGTACTTATGTTTGTATTGATTTTCAACAAAAATCGAACTTATTATTATATATAAACCATGTCCATCTGAGAACCTTGTATCCATTCGCGGAGAAACGTTTTTACAAACCATATATGTTTAGCTCAATATCGTAACCAAATCTGGTATATTTCTGAATACTTATAATTCTTCACTATAATCTGAAATCGTTTTATTAAAATCGCTAGCTATATCATATCGCGTTTTTTTTATGGAGGTCAAAAGATTTCCCGACTTTGAAGTATTTGTTTTCCTTTACCACCAAAAGAAAAATATTTCCTATATCCTGAGTCAAGTTAATACGTTCATGACAT